TGACATCTGAGATATATATATATATATATATATATATATATATATATATATATATATATATATATATATATATATATATATAGAGAGAGAGAGAGAGAGAGAGAGAGAGAGAGAGAGAGAGAGAGAGGTGGGGGCGGGGGGGGGGGGGGGTGTCGACATGGTCGGGACATAGAAGGGGGTGCGCGGCTAAATAAGTTTGGGAACCACTGGCTTAGTCAATCACCTGACCTGAATGGCATTACATTAATCTCCGAGAACAAAGTAAGGAACCTTGGTGTTATCTTTGACCAGGACATGCCATTCAAATCCCAAGTTAAACAGGTTTGTAGGATTTCCTTTTTCCACCTTTGGAATATTGCTAAGATTAGAAGCATCCTTTCCAGGAGTGATGTTGAAAAATTAGTTCATGCATTTATTACATCAAGACAGGATTACTGTAATTCATTACTCTCAGGAAGTCCACAGAATGTAGTTAAAAGTCTTCAGCTTGTCCAAAAAGCTGCAGCTAGAGTTCTGATGAGAATTAAAAAGAGAGATCATATCTCTCCTGTCTTAGCTTCCCTACTTTGGCTACCTGTTAAATTCAGAATAGATTTTAAGATCCTCCTCCTCACATATAAAGCTCTTAATAATCAAGCTCCATCATACATCAGTGATCTGATTGTTCCATACGTTCCTAACCGAGCACTTCGCTCTCAGACTGCAGGTCTACTGGTGGTTCCCAGAATATCTAAAATTAGGATGGGAGGCAGATCTTTTAGTTATTAGGCTTCTCTCCTGTGGAACCAGCTCCCAGCTTTAGTCCGTGAGGCAGACACCTTGTCTACTTTTAAGAATAGGCTTAAAACATTTTTATTTGATAGGGCCTATGGTTAAAATCTGATGTTAGCCTGGATCTGGACAAGTGGGGGAGTAGAGGGAGGTGGAGTGTACAGTCGGTAAAGATGGCTCTCCCTTGCCCTGCCTCCAACATGCCTCCATCTAAATAGGATAGGTTGTCCAGAGTTATCTCTGTAGTTATGCTGCTATAGGCTTAGACTGCTGGAGGATACACTGACCACTTTCCATACTCTACTGCTTTCTTCTACAATCTGCTCTTTAACTGTATTATTTTCTGCAATTTCAGCTGTTAACTTTATTTTCTCTCTAAGTGTTTTTCTCCCCAGAAAAAGCTACAATGATGCTCTGCTGAGCTGTGGTGGCCTCATGGAGGGGGCCATCGTCTAGCACACTGCTGCTAACCACTTAAACATTCTCCCTCTCCTGATAATAACTTTTTGCTTTCCTTGACTTTTGATGTGCTACTACTAGTTTATCCGTTTAATTATAGATCCACTAGGATAAATACAATAAAGTTTATCTTTCACCAAATAGAATATTTACTAAGACATCACAATATAACTATAGACACATTCCTTGGTGTGTGTGTGTGTGCGTGTGTGCGTGTGTGTGTGTGTGTGTGTGTGTGTGTGTGTGTGTGTGTGTGTGTGTGTGTGTGTGTGTGTGTGTGTGTGTGTGTGTGTGTGTGTGTGTGTGTGTGTGTTCTCGATCCCCAGTGAGTCGTGGAGGATGGCTGCTTATACTGAGCCAGGATTCTCTGGAGGTTTCTTCCTGTTAAAAGGGAGTTTTCCTCTCCACTGTCGCTATATGCTTGCTTAGTATGAGGATTGCTGTAAAGTCACTGTGACTTGGTGCAATTTGCTGGGTTCCTTATATAGGAAACATTTTTTCTGATTGGCTTAATGAACTGACCTGAATTGGAATGTTTATTATGTGAAGTGCCTTGAGACGACTCTTGTCATGATTTGGCGCTATATAAATAAAATTGAATTGAATTGAGAAAGCAATCCACCGGAGCCATGTGATGGTTCCTGTGAGCAGGAGGTTCAAATAGAAACATTCAAGATATCTGATGTTTTTCAGCCTCTTATACACCTTTGTTAGATTTAAATAAATGCCAACGGATTTGTAATAAACTCACCATGCACAAAGTTTTGAGGAAAGATTAATGGACACTAATGGGGACACAATAAAAATAAATAAATGTCCATTTGAAATGTCCAGAAATAATGTCCTCGATCTGATATACAAAAGTGTATTAGTAAAGCTGCACTTGACCATTAAACTATATAAATTCTAACATGTATCCAGTATCACTCCATATCTAATGTTTAAATACATGTTATCATTGTATAACATCAAGCATCAACCTACACTGGATTCCTCACCCTCAGCTACAACCATAACCACATTGACTTAAGCACATCTATACATTAGACTATACAGTAGCTATTTAGCATAACTCAGTGGATTATTCAAGTTAAAACCATGATCGACATATGTTAAAACTAACCAAAACCATTTTGTATCTTGTTAGCTTAAATGTCATTCTGTCAGTTAACAATTAGCATCAGCTCTGCTAGTAGGCATGGGCGGCATATAACCCGCCTTTTTGGATATAACAGAAGCAGGAGACAAAAGCGTTTAACCCTCTCAGGCTCAAAATAAGTTTTGATAAAAGGACGAACAACTAAGTCCTTCAGGGGTATTCTGAGTTAAAAAAATGCTCGTGAAACACGTATGTGGAGTAACCAGGTAGGTTTTAACTGTTGCAAATCTGCAACGCACTTTGCACCACACCCACATTGTAACAACGTAAAACTGCATCTTCCATGATTTTTATTTATACAATGGAAATATAAAAATAAAAAAAATAATGGGGGATCCACTTGAAGCTTTTTTAAAACCCTTTAGATTAGTGTAAAGGGTTAGAGACAATAAAAAAGGTTAAAATGGATCCCTCGATATCAGAACTTTATTAAATAAAAGTATAAGTACACAAAGAAACAAATTGTATACAAATTTTAACAAAGAACATATACTCAAATAATTTGTAGGTATTGCAAATATTCACATTTTTAAAGACTTCTTGTTTAACGATCCACTAATCAATTTTATGTAAGATAGGGCGTTATAGTGTTAGAAATTTGGTTTTTGGTTATGATGCTTGCATTTGTGGAAATAGAATTTTGCTAGAATATTTAACAAATTTAGAATAAAGTATACTTCTTATCTGTGCATGTGAAATAACAAAAATATGATATTTTCCCATTTTAAAGTGAAGTCTTTGTGAAAAATAAGAAATAAATAATAAATCTTAATCTAGATAAATAAGTCCATAAAGTTGTAGGATGTGAACAGATCCCAAAGAGGTGCTGAAAGTCTCAGGGTGGCCTCCACAAAATCAACAGTTTACATCAATGCCCCTCTTGAACTTTGTCATACAGTGATTTGCTGGACAACATTTATGAAGCGTTTTGAATGAGACTTCTTTGACCTTATTAATTACAAAATACTTGTTAGGAATGGTCCATATACTCTTTTCCAAATATCAGTGACAAAGGAGTAAAATCGTGTTTGTATATCGGGGACCAGGCTAATATAACTTGTTTGTGAAATATTGAAAGTTTTTCTGGAAGCTTCACTACATTTTAGTCACAGCCCAGGATCAAATTTAAACCACCAAACCTAGAGAAAACGTAGTGAGGAATAAAATTTCAAATGGAGATAGAATTTTTAAGCAAATTAAATTTGAATGTGTTGTTTAATGAAATGAAATCCAAAATATTGAGTCTACCATTTTTATAGTCATTCATCCCACTATTTCTAATGTATTGTGTTCAGTTTTCCCATTATAAGTTGAAGAGCATTTGGTCAATATCCCCCAAAGTTCTGCTGTCCACATGAAGAGAAATGGCAGCAAAAGTCATTTGAGATAGACCTTCTGCTTTTCAGAGCAAGTCATCCTCTTAACCCTCCCACTGCCCTAATGGGTGTGACCCCACGAGGAAAGTTGACCAATAAGCAGGGTTGATGGTTTTTCCCTTGGGTCCATGTGGCAGGGGTGATGAGTGAGCACCACCTCACCCCTGCCACGTGGACCTCAAGGGATAAACCATCAATCCTGCTCAGTGGTCAACTTTCCTCACAGGGTCACCCATAAAGACAGTGGGAGGGTGAAACCTAAATTTCATTGATTTAACTTGAATTCCTGTTTTTTTTATATAATTGGAGGAAAATTAGCAGTTATTCTGCTTTATCTTTACAGATAATCAGGCCCAAATAGGTTACTTTGTGTTGAACCGCTATATTACAAACACTTTGATCATTGAATTTTTTGAAAATACCTGACATTTGTTTAAGTTTAAGATCAATCCAGAATCTTTTGAGAAGTCATCTATGATTTTTAGGGTAACTGGCACCTGACTGGTATTTTTTTTTTTTTTTTAGAAAAATTGTAGCATCATCTGCCAGCTGGCTGATGACAAACTGTCTCCCATCAGTAGGAGTAAAGTGGTACACCCAGCTAGGATATCTGCCCTCCAGTGATGAAAAGCTGCAACTACAGTGGTTCTGGTCTAGCCACCATAGACATTCAATGTATACGATTCTTTGCTAGCCACGCTCCACTGGAACCTCAGCAGACCCAACAGTCCAACGTAATTCCAATCACAGCGCTTTATCGGTTTGGTGGGTGGGTGTTTCCGCAAGAGAGCAAAACAACAAAGATGGCAATGACTCGTTTGAAACAGCTTTGGCGTCAACTCTGGAGTATTTAGACTTGGACTTTTCTTTGAGTCAAGAGCAGATAAAGATAATAAAGTCTTTTATTTAGAAAAAGAATGCATTTACTTCGTCAACAGTTTATGGTGTACAGTCCCATTGACTGACATCCATAGTGATAAGTGTGTCACATTGTTGATTGTTTGAAAGACAACCGTAGACTCCATCCCATAATGAGATCTGTTTATGGTTGACTTTACGTTGTTTTAATAAGTGGAGTATTCAGTAATTATTTTTCATTTAGCATTGTTAATGAACCAGGAGCATAAACGGTCATTTTTGTTCTTTACTGTTCAATCATTCACTGTCAGTAATCAGCATAAATAAATCTAATGAGATAAATCACAACTCACTTGATAAACAAAGATTAACTGCAATGATTTCCAAACATTTTTTATTTCATAATCTCTCAGTATTCTCAACAATAAAAGCTGTAGGGGAATTATAACTTGCAAAAGAACATAATATTGAATTTTATTAAGAAAACAAAGCAACTCTTATTTATGCAACAAAAGGAATCACTGATACGCTCATAGGGTTGTTTCTCATTCCCTCCAATGAACCAAAAGACGACACGTTTTTAAAAACCCCCCAAAAGGTTTGCACGCCATTTTCATCGGGTCTGTTCTATCCGACAAGCGGGTTTGTGAGCAGACCGTCACTGGTCTGGGGTGGATCTGAACTCCGTCCGTTGGTGCTTGGAGAGGCAGAGAAAGGAATGATGACAGTAAGACAGTGAATGAAATATCAGCCAATGAGGAATGACAGACAGGTTAAAGGTATTTAGAAAGATCCTTCTCCACCACCTGCAAAAAAAAAAAAGATATTTTTGAAAAGGAGTTCAGATGGAAAAGAGAATAAAAATGTACCATTTACACATTGTGAAACTAGTTTTTATAAATAATCAACTAAATGAATGTCCCTTTGTGATGATTCCCAATAAACATTAGCAATTTCTAGGCATTTGTTACAGCTCAGATCTATTCACTTAAGAAAGATAAGGATGTTTTGTACGTACTTCTGGATCATCGAGGGGTCCGTATCTTTTCACCACCTGCCCCTCTCTGTTGATCAAAAACTAGAGACAAAAAAAGCAACTTAAAGACGACAGCATAGTTTCTTTCCAGATCAGACACTTGGTCATTTTTGATACTGAAAAATGTGGACTATAGATATTGTAAAAAAATAAATAACAATATACATTTTACCTTGGTGAAATTCCACTTGATGCTACTGCAGGATTAAAAATAAATACATCACATTAGAATATATTTCTACTCACTCATTTTATATTACAGAGTGCACAGTAATTTTTAGGATGAGATCATTTGCAGTCATAATAATAAACCTTAAACGTCATATTTGAGTCTTTTGTACGTACTCTCCGAACAAGCCTCTGCCGTTGGGCTGATCCTTCAGCCACTTCCACAGAGGATGAGCATTCTCCCCATTCACCTCGATCTTACTGAACATGTCAAACTGTGCGTTGTATGACTGGGCAAAAATCTTGATCTGTGTCTCGTTTCCCGGCTCCTAAAGATATAAACAGGAACAGAAAAGAGAAAAAAATGACTTTCAGACAGTTTCACTTTAAAGATTTAGACAGAAAAGTATGGAACTAGGATTGGGACAATATTACATGTAACTTGTACCAAGTTTTGTAACTTGTAAGTTTTGTAACTGTAATCTCGTTTTGTAGCATATAACCTTTGTTTTGTAACACGTAACTTTTGCACAAAACATGAAACTTTCATTTTGTAACTTACAGAAAAAAAATCTATGTACAAGTTTCAACTCACAACTCTGAAAACACACATCTCACTCTACAGTGAGAATGATAGAAATCCATGACACATGATTGGCCAAGGCAAAGCCTTTCATTGGTTCTTTTGGAAGCAAGCTAGAATTGGGACAAAATGTTTTGTACTTGTAGACTTGAGTTTTGTAACTGTAGACTGAGATTTGTGATTTGAAAGTTGTACACTGATTTTTTTCTGCAAGTTACAAAATAAAAGTTTCATGTTACGTACCAAAATTACATGCTACAAAATGAAAGTTACGTGTTACAAAACGTGAATTACATGTTGCAAAACAAAAGTCACAATTACAAAACACGTTACAAGTTGCATGCAATATTGTCCCAATCCTAGTTCCACAGAAAAGCCCACTTAGATTAGATTTGATTCCCAAGCTAAATTAATTTCTTTTATCTTACGTTTAAAGTGACAATGTGTATTTTTTTTAAACCATGATCTCCGGAAATATCCATCGAAATGTAGTTTAAAATAAATTAAATGATGCCCAGTCGTTGAAAATATTGGCAGCTTCATAAAATACATGGGACCGGGTCTAGGTCCCTGGGTGATGCCATATTAGATGCCATGTTTTCTTCCATGGGAGCCCATGAGGACAAAAGGCATTTACTGTTACAAATCTTTTGCCAATTTTTGTTTTACACATTCACCTCTTCACTCATTTCCAGTGATGAAAGGGAATCTGCTGTGCTTGTCATTTAGCTGGAAGTTGCGCTCCCATGGATTTTTGACCCTAAGGTCTTACCCAAACACAAAAATATGCATTGCTTGCAGCGATTCAGATATGTACTGCCCCCTATCGCTAGGGAAAATACACATTGTCACTTTAAAGAAAATAAAGATAATTCTGCACCCAAAAGCATTTTTATAGCCCTAAAATAAGTTTTATGAATTCCAGTTTGCATCAGAAACAAAAGAAAACCTTTATTAGTTTGATAAATGGCCTGATTATAAAATACTTTGTGCAAATCTCTTCCTATTTCACATGACAGTTTTAGATCATGATCTAGCATGGATTTAAATGGGATAAAATAGAAATATACTTTTACAAGTACACCAGCAGCAAGGCACAGGTACCATTTACCAGAACATTAATAAAACGTGACCTTTACCTGATTCCCAAACTGGTTAGAGGGGAAGGCGAGGATCCGTAAACCTCTCTCAAAGTACGCGGCGTGCATCTTCGCAAACTGAGAGTAGTTTACTGGGGTTTTGCTTCATTTTGAGGCAACATTGGTGATGATGACAACATAGCCCCTGTAATTAAAACACAAGAACATTAAAAAGGAGCTGTGGGGAGTGAATTTAGGAAGATGAAGTTAAACCAACCTGTATTTCTCAAGCGACACCAGATTTCCATCGATGTCTGTTGCGTTGAATTCATAAATGGACGTGGCTCTCTGCCAGTCCTCTGTTGGGGACGACTGTTGACAAAGGTGGGGGGAAAAATCTTACTAGAGACATAAAGAGAAACCTTCCTGATTAAAAATATATCTTGGTGCAAATGAACAAAAATGCATTATAGAATAAATACAACGAATAAATCAAAATGTCAGTCCCTTACCATAGCCTGCAGCAGGACAGAGAGAAACACTGTGCACCCTAACAGGCGCATGGCTGCCCCTCTCTCAGCTTCTCTGTTACAGAACAATCTAATCTGTCAGCGCAACCCCCTCACTGCTGAACCTCACATCTGACAGAGCCTTAATGTACAAGGGGCGGGTCGAAATGACCAGAAATGATAAGCTGGATTTCTCCAATAGGTTCCTCTCTTAGGTCCTAACAAAACAAACCCTGATCAAAAGCACGCGTGCTGCAGGCCAAAGTTCATAGCTATGTCATAAAACTCACAGAAAGATGAGGTGCATGTGACTCGGGCGAAAGGTAAAAGTCCAATCAAACGCATAATGTGATTATTCATATAAAACAGTCTGTTACACAAGCGCGGTCAGGGCCAACAAACAAATCATATAAATCCCTGACGACAAACGAATGAGTGTTTCAAGCTGTTAGAATAAACAGCATTGTGTGCTTATGAGGTTAAAGTGCAGGAAGGAAGAAACGCTGAGCAAATCAGAAAATGTGCAATTAGAGAAGGTGATGACATCATTTACTAATACAGTTCTGATTTACAAAGATGGTCACAAATTAGACACAGAACAAAAATAAATCTAAAACTAACAGAAAAGTGTTTATACCATGAAGGTATTAATACTATGATGATGATAGGCTTATCAGCTTGTCGCAACAGGGGGGTGGGGATGATGCAGAGGAATGCTGGTGTCCTATCGTGACTTTCAACATTTACACAACCTGAAGTGCGTTGCCTGTGTAAATACTGTCTGCAATCGTGCACAAGCAAGGGCACCACAGATGTCACAGCAGCCATATTCAGTTACACAACTTCTAAATCTCATTATAAAACAAGCCAAGTATCACGGAGGTTTACTTTACCGCTGCCGTGGATAAAACAAAATACAAAATCACGGCCAGTAGTGTCCCGCTGCTCGCCACAGCCCCCAAGCCCAAAACAACATATAACGGCCTCATTTAGTTATAGAAAAGGTCACTTCTGTCGAAAATCCATGCGTTGTTCGGTTGTTCGTTGTAGCTGCACGTGACTCCGCCCCGTTGTAGGCTACTAGGTGGGCCAAGGGTAAAATTATTATTATTATTATTATTATTATTATTATTATTATTATTATTATTATTATTATTATCATCATCACTGTTGTCGTTGTTGTTGTATTGAGCATTGTTGTCGGAAATCATGGAGTCTGCACCATTAAGTCTCTGGCGCATGTCACGGCGCGCTGTGCGAGAGGGGGAGTTTACTCACGAAGCAGCATGTACAGCACGTCACTCGCACTGAAACAAACACCCTCTATCTAATACAATCAATTAGAGGTCGTACAGAGTTTCACCATTTGATGGCTTTAACGTTCAAATCGAAGGAGGAGGGTGTTGGATAAATTATTTACTTTATCTGGGACATGGATTAGATCATGCCCCCATTATTTATCTGCACAGAAAGATTGCTGGGGTGTTCGGTCTTACACAATCAGACTAAATACAGCAACACCCACTTTTCACACCTTGTTCATTTAGGATACGATTCGTGGCGCACACAGTCTTGACACATTTCCGTGTACTGATCCACAATGATGCATCTAGTCTGATTGTGTAAGAACGAACAAATGGTCTGACTCCAGCATGCTTTCCATACTGATAAATAATGGGGACATGATGTAATTAAAATTATCCAACAGGGGACACAAATCTGCCCTCTAGTGGCGAAAATCTTTATTTAACTAACAGAACAGCGGCGGTGATTGCTGGTTTATGATGACGTCTTTGAAGTTAATTTGCTGGAAAAGCCTCGTTGTAAGATGGCACTGTCGTTAACAAATGCTAGAGGCGCAATAACTTTAGAAGGTCTCTGAACCAAGCGAAAAACCCCATTCCTGGTCTTTAGTCAGATAAAAAAGCACATGAACACCGGCAAAGCAGAGAAGGAGCAAACCCCTTCAGGTCAGCTTTTCTGACGTCATCAGCCTGTGTCAGTCAATCGGGAAACGTGCGTTCGCTTAAAGAGCGATATTGATAACAAAAAAAAAAAAATCATTTTCTGACCAAATCTAGTGCACACAGCTTATTTAGCAGGACATGGATGATGAAGAGGAAACATATAGACTTTGGAAGATCCGCAAAACCATCATGCAGGTTCGTTAGGTTTGAATGTTTTCTTTATGTAGCTTGTTAGCCTCTTAGCTCGTTAGCTCAACATGAATGAATGTATTTTTTATCACTGAAGTTCCGTTAAATTTGACTTGTGTACTCCTTATTTTAACATTATGACAGCCTGGCTAAACACTTGTTCCACTGGTATTTTAAGCAGTTTACCAAAGTACGAAGCAAGACTAGCGGCTCTAACCCGACTGCAACAATTGTTTCTGTAAAATTTAAATAAGTGTGTTTAAGTTCGACAAAATAACAGACGAATTATTTAATTTTAATGTTTATTAAATGAGTTTTCTGATACCTTCTCTGATGTTTTCCTCCTTCAGCTGTGCCATGATCGAGGTTACCTTGTGACCCAGGACGAGTTGGACCAGACTCTGGAGGAGTTCAAGAGTCAGTTTGGAGACAAACCGAGCGAAGGTCGTCCCAGACGAACAGATCTCACGGTGCTGGTGGCACACAATGATGATCCCACTGACCAGATGTTTGTTTTCTTTCCCGGTATGTTTATTTTAACTGGGAGATTGAACAGAAATGGAGACCAGGTGACTTTTGTGACTTTTGCTCAGTGCATCAGTCTTTTCTAGAAGTAACTGGGTGATTACATTTGGAACAGAGAAGCGTGTTTGATTTGAAGAAAATTGTTATGAATTCATCTTTTTTTTGTCCATTTTTGTCCCACCAGAGGAACCCAAGGTGGGGATCAAGACCATTAAAATGTACTGTCAGAGAATGCAGGAGGAGAATATCACTCGAGCCATCATCGTTGTTCAGATGGGCATGACGCCTTCAGCAAAACAGGTATGTTTATGTTCATGTATTTAGCAGACGCTTTTGTCCAAAAGACCTACAAGTAATAATGAAGCCAGCAGGTTGCCCTTGAGGCTTACAACAAACACTAATCAGTCAATCCTAGGTGGCAGTGAGGCAGCATAATGAATCGTAAAGGGAAGTGAATAAGGAGTGGACAGTAGAGTGGGGGACGGGTGCAGGGAGGGTGCTAGCTTAGAAGATGCTCTCTGACGAGCTGAGTCTTCAGGAGTTTCTTGAAAATGGACAAGGTCAAAGAGATCTCGCAGTACAGGCAGGAAGACCAGTTAGAAGGGCATTGCAGTAGTTGAGGTTGGAGATGACTGTAGATTGAACCAGGAGCTGGGTGGCATATTTTGTTAGATATGGTCTGATCTTTTATATGTTATACAGCATGAAGCGGCATGAACGAGTGACAGAGGCAACTTGATCTTTAACTCATTTCCTGCCATTGATGACTAAAGTCATCATTTGTATTTTTTTTTTACTGTGTGGGTGTCGGAACGAGCTCCCGTACCGTGAGAACAAACATCCCAGCTCTAAAGCTGATCTTTATCCATGTACATCACACGTCACGTGATCAGGAAGCAAAAATCCATGTGTTAGGAGATCGTTTTGGGCTGCTGCTGTAAAAAAAAAGTGAGGCACGATCCGGAAAAGCTTCTGCCGATCACAATTCGACAACGGATTATGAAAAAATGGATAACACTCTAAACACGCAGATTATTCCAGATGTAAGAGGTGAGTCTACTCTTTGTTTTGGTAGTTTGGGCGTTGACATCATCATAGAGCGCAACGTTCGGTGACTTTTCAAAAAACTGTGAAAACGCTGAAAACCTCTGGCAGCGAAGGGCTTTACTGATCAGGAAACGACCGGAAGGTAATGAGTTAAAGGTCAGCTGGTCATAAATCACAACACCCAAATTTCAAATTGTGTGTGAAGGAGCCAGAGATAGGGGCTCGTTTTGGATTGAGATATTGTGTCGTATGGATGGGTTTGCTGGGATGTCAAGTAATTCAGTTTTTGAGAGGTTGAGTTGGGGATGGTGAGATTTCATCCATCTTGATATATCAGAAAGACAGTCCAAGATTTGTACAGAGACTGTGAGGTCGTCCGGACGAGAATGACAGATAGAGCTGGGTGTCGTCCGCATAGCAGTGGTAGGAGAAGCCATGCGATCGAATGATCTCACCCAATGTGGTGGTGTATGTGGCAAAGAGAAGGGGTCCTAGTAAAGAGCCCTGGGGGACTCCTGTGGCAAGATGGTAAACAGCAGAAGATTGTCTGAGTCAGGTACGATTCAAACCAGGAGTGTGCTTTCCCTGTGATGCCCATGCTAGAGAGTATGGACAAAAAGAAGCCATGGTTGACTGTGTCAAATTCAGATAAGTCAAGCAGGATAAGCACTGAGGATTTGGACAGTCGCTCTAGCTTATTTTAAGGCTTCAGTGGAGTGGCCATTTTTGAACCCAGATTGGTATGGGTCAAGCAGATAGTTTTGTGAGAGGTGCTCTGCAACCTGCTTGAAGGCCGCCTTTTCGATGATTTTAGACAGGAACGGGAGGAGAGAGATAGGTCGGTAGTTCTCCACACGATTTGGAGGAAGGGAGTTGGTTTCTGAGTGTCAGAAGTGCTGAGAGTTTTGTCAGTGTCAGAAAGCTTTCCTTGCATTAGTGATGCTGGCAGAGAATGGACTTTGTACCGTTTTTAGATCAAATGATAACATTAAGGACAGGAAACCTGATGAAATGGGGTTGTCCAGATGAATATTCATGTCTCCAAGGACCATTGTGGGACAGTCATGCTCAGGAATGGAGGAGAGCAGGGTGTCAAGTTCATCTAGAAAGTCTCCGTGTTGTCCTGGTTGTCGATATATAACAACCATAAAGAATAATTTTCGGTGCAGTTACCCAGATGGCATGGTATTCAAAGGAGATGTACTTAGTTATGGGTAGCAACTGACTGTATTTCCATTTGTTGGAACTTAACATGCCTGTTCCACCACCTCGGCCAGATGCATGAGAAGTGTGGTTGATTGAGAGTGCAGCTGGGTTCATCGTCACCAGGTTTGATCCAGGTCTCAGTGAGAGCCAGGGCATCAAGTGACAGGTGACTGGCATATGCAGTAATGAAGTCTGCTTTGTTTACTGCTGATTGGCTGTTCCACAGTCTCATAGACAGGCAAGTGGTGCTCGCTGCAGAACCACAAAGGTGGAGCTGCACCAGAGTCAGCCCCGCCCATTCCATCAGAGTCAGTCCAATTCCTTCCAGTTGTCAGACTTAATAGCATCCTGGAACCAAAGAGGGTGTTATAGCTAATATCATCTAAAATGCAGGATTGAGGACTGAGTTGAGAGGTTAACTGAACCGTTTTTGTAAAGGTTTCCATATAATTAAAAATCTAACTTTTGGAACTTTTTATCGTGTTATATTATCATTTCCTCATCAGGGGTGGACATTAACTTCAAAACCAACCGGCCAGCCGGGCCGGTAACTCTGAATATTTACCGGCCCCACCAAGAATCTACCGGCCCCACTGGTCAGCTGCCAAAACGAGTCAAAATAATAACAGAACTGTTTTAAATGTAATAAACCTTTATTTTGTACACATTCACAAACATAATAACGTATTCAAGTTTGAATTTGTTTGTTCCCTCAACAAAACACGATTTTGTCGTCGCATACTTCCGGCATACAACACAGTACATCACCAACTCCGCTTTGCTGTATTCGAGCCATCGGCTGTGTTCGAGATGAGCCAGTTCTGCGCAGACTAGACCAGCGGTGATCGGCGAGCAGTGCATGCCGGTTAGATTCGTGTCCGAATTGATGCCGACTTGCTCTGACGTCATGCATACGTAGACAACGATAAACTTGTGAGATCAAGGCGGCCGCAGATTTTGGAGCAAGGCGCTGCAGTTGCTCTCCCTCGGCTGCAAAACCTAGATGATGATGGGAAACGCCTGGCTCTCACCTGATCTAAGATCTGATTGGTTCATATTTTGATCCAAACATTCGGTGGTAGAACATGAAATGTTAGTTGTTCACATGTATTCTATAAATCACATATAGGCCATAAAGAGAAATGTGTTTTGTTTTCTTTTGTCACGTTTCCTATGAGCACACTAAACCTACAGCTGATAACCTTTAATTATTACAGTCAGGTCTTCATATACAATATATGATATCCACAAGCACGTGAGGATGTTTCAGCTGCTAACAGGCACCAGAATTAAAATTGAAAATTAAACAAATGTGAACGCTGACGCGATATCTTCAGCCATCGTCACCCCCGAGCTACACATGCAGGAAAATCCAAGAGATTCAACTGGCAGAAACAACTGGTTCACAGCATAGTCTCTCTCTCTCTCTGTCTCTCTCTCTGTCTCTCTCTCTGTCTCTCTCTCTGTCTCTCTCTCTCTCTCTCTCTCTCTCTCTCTCTCTCTCTCTCTCTCTCTCTCTCTCTCTCTCACTCACTCACTCACTCACTCACTCACTCACTCACTCACTCACTCACTCACTCACTCACTCACTCACACACACACACACACACACACACACACACACACACACGTAGAGGAAAAGAGCTGAGAAAAGAGAGAGGAAATGGAGGACAAGTAGTTAAAAGAAAAACTACAGCTGAGCCGAGGCGCGCCTCAAATGGGGCGCGTCTGATCTGAACTGAGGAGCGGCGAGCAGCGGCCGAATTTCGTGAGCAATTCGCTTCTCGGCGCTTCGGGCGCTTCCGCGGCCGGTGTGTCCCCGGCGAAACGCCGGCTTTCAGCCACTCCCCCCGCTGCTTCCGTCTTCTCTCGCCTGTTTTCCAGGCGATGCGCTGCTCAACTCGAACACGGCCATTCTCTGTGCCGCCGGGGACACACCGGCCGCGGAAGCGCCGCAAAGCGCCGAGAAGCGAATCGCTGACGAAATTCGGCCGCTGCTCGCCGCTCCTCAGTTCAGATCAGACGCGCCCCAGTCGAGGCGCGCCTCGGCTCAGCTGTAGTTTTTCTTTTAAACACTTGGTGCCCTCCATTTCCTCTCTGCCTTTTCTCAGCTTTTTTCCTCTAAGTTTGAGTGTTTGTGCGCGCGCGCGCGCGTACGTGTGTGTGAAATAATATTATAAATAAATATTTTCCTTGAACGTGGACACACCGTGTGTGTGTGTGTGTGTGTGTGTGTGTGTGTGTGTGTGTGTGTGTGTGTGTGTGTGTGTGTGTGTGTGTGTGTGTGTGTGTGTGTGTGTGTGTGAACCTAAGTTTCTGCCAGTTGAATCTCTTGGAACCCGCTCCAATTCTGCAGCTGTATCCTAGCAGTTTCTTCCGACATGGGAACGTAAATAATCATGTTTTTCGGGGGTCGTACAGCTCCTTGTGTTTCTCAACTTCCATAATTAATTTAAAGTCATCCATCCTAACTGCTTGCCTCAGACTTTCTGCCTCTCTGTCCTGTTTGCTCCGTGAAGACACCCAAAACCACACCCCCCTTCACGCGGTCACACACGCACACAAGTTCGATGTGTGTGTGTTCATGTGGTTTTTCTGCAGTGTCTGATTACGAACACATTTGATTGCGTAATTTTAATTTGAAATACTGTATTTTGTTAACGTTACCGGCCTGCCTCTTATGTCTAGGTTTGACTTCCTGCCAGAATTGACGCGATTCACCCGCGGCTCGCGGAAAAAATAGAGCCGACGCCGAAATGATCGCTGCACGGCGCGGGCTGGGGCGCCGGCGCGCGGTGATTCGCGGCGCTTCGGCGGCCCATGTGGTCTATAGAATAGCTTAACAAGGGCGCCGAATGAAGGCGGCCCCATTTTCGCGGCGCTTCCGCGGCCAGTGTGTCCCCGGCGTGCCTCCCTTCTTCTTTAAACCGCCAAGAATCATTCCACCTACGCACACGCTTCTCTGCTTCATACCGTTTCGAACTGTCTCGCTTCTCCTCACCAGTTTTAAAGCGTTTTGCCGGAGATTTCATCAAGAAATCCCATCCCTGTGGTGGCGCGATCTTTCTGCGTGCTTGTGTGTTTCTAGCGTGGTTCCACTTCGTCTTTAATAGTGAACTTATAGTTCACGTGACTATAACTAGAATGTGCAGTACGTGCACGAATCGTACAAGTGCAGAACGTGGCTAGAGGCGCGCAGGTTCACGCGCGCGAAACGAAAACGGCGGCTTCCTACAGGGCGGGGCCATGATGTAGGTGAAAGCCAGTGTGTAAATGACGAATAAGGCTTGGACGCCACCCGGGCGGTAAGTCGTCAAGTATTTACCGCCCGACGAGAAAATTTAGCGCCATTGGCGCTCGGGCGCGGTCCACCCCTGCTCATAAGAAACACGCCAAAGCCATTTTTGGCCTCATTCACACATTTTCCTCCCATCTCAGCTTCAATTTGGTCTCCTCCTCCGAAGCGGGTCTGGTCTTGGTTCTCAAATCTGGATATTCTGTGAATTTTCTGACAAATTATTTCTGAAATGACTTCTACTGAGACACCGCTGAAAAACCATACATCCCATCTACAAAAACACACTGGATGGGACAATTACATGTGATGCCACTAGCTTGTTATCAGATGTAGTGGTGAACTGGTTGTGCAGTCAACTTGTCATGTAATTTTGCGCAGGTTCACCTCCCGGTAACGGCGCAAACTTTTTTCTTCTTTTCTAGCTACACTTGCCAGTAGTATGTTTTTAACCATTTATTGGTATACCGTTTACAATATAATGACTAATGTGTTTGTTTTTCTATTTATTCGTTATTTAGCCAGTGTGAGTCCATTTGTGAGCAGAGTTTCAACTAAAATGCTGTTTAGGAACGACCAAATTCAAAGAACTTTTAGAGATATAAATATTTTGCAGAAAATAAACATTACAACTAAAATATAAACAAATTAAATGTTTCAGCTGGATAAATAGATAGCTGCCGACCCCACCGAGAGTCGAACCAACATCAGCTGAGGGGAAAGCAAAACTTAGGTGTGACGATGTTGCCACTAGATTACCAGGGCTCACCAAACAATTGTCCTTAAATGCTTTTGTAGCCCGGTTCTGTTGGAGCGGCTATGGACAGATATTCGCTAAAAGAAACCTTTTCATTTCGGGATATATTCAGTAGGGCTGCAACAACGAATCGATAAATTCGATGAAAATCGATTACTAAAAGCGTTGGCAACGAATTGCGTCATCGATTCGTTGTGTCGCACAACTCTTCCAAAAGCGCCCCCCCTTCCCGCCCGCCGTTGCGCGCAGAGCAGAGCAAGTCAGATCAGCGCGAGGGAGAGCCGGCAGATCAGCGCGAGGGAGAGCCGGTACCGGCAGATCAGCTCGAGGGAGAGCCGGCAGACTTGCGCTGCTGCGAACCGGTTCCGCATTGTTGCACAGCGATCCAGGCAGCTGCTTCCAGCGCACGGTCCATTCTCAAAGTGGCGCAACCAAAAAACTATAATTAGCACACGATCGTTCTTGTCTGCACATGTTCTCTATTTTCTGTCTTATTTGTGCCTGAAGCTCGCTACTGCGGAGCTCATCACCTGTGCTGCGGTGATTTCACCTCACTGACGCAGCATCGAAAACGCGCTCTGCGCTTTTCGGTCAGGAGATCCCTTTGATCTGCTCAAAAGTAACTGATGAGGTGAAAAGGTAAGAATCCAGGCAACAGATTTTCTGGAGAATTAAGAGGAGATGCAGGAAGATGAGAGACAGACAGGACAGGAAAATAGTTAAATAAAAACAAGAAAACAAAACAAAAGTGTTGAAAAGTCAAATGTAGGTAGATTTATCTCCACTACACGTTTTTACCAGTAAAAAACAATAAGTTCTACACATGTCATATTTATACATCTGATACAGATCAGATCACCTTCAAAACTCAGTCACACACCCAGGGCCGTTTCAAGACATTTTGGGGGCCAAGGCAAAATGCCCCCCCCCCCCCCCCAAATAACTGGGCTCCCCAGAAGCCTCTGTGTAATTCATGCCCTCTCCAGTAGTGTTAGTTATACGGTGTTTATAAAAGCCCCTCAGACATTACTGACATGTTCTAATATTATCAGATGAAAAACTAAATTATCAGACATGCTGTCTCATCTGCTTCTTTTATAAACTTGCAAAAAGTAACAAAACCATTTGAAAGCCACTATTTGTGGATTCTCTGAAAGTTTCCATGGAGTGTGTGACAACTTATTTTTTCATTGATCCTATCGTCTAATCTCACAGCTGAAACAAGCATCCTTAATAATCTGTGCACAGGAAGCTTACCGATGCTGTAGTAAAACAAAAGGTATAATAATTTATTATTAATAAAACCTTGTTGCAGCACTAAAGCAGAAAAATTAGATTTTGCATTAAATATGCAAAATATTTACATATGAATTGTTTTAGAGCCCTTTAATTGGCAGAATCTGATATTAATTTAGTTCTTACAAAAAATGGGTCCCAACATGGTTTGTGTGGCGTTGCCATAGTGTGACGTCATAGGCACAGATCCCCTGTCCTCTTGTTTGGAAATGGAAATATGGTCACCCTACATTAAACAAACTGTCCACCCGGGCTTTTGCACTGCACAGAGACGCTTCGCTGCCTATGACTTTGAACATCAGTTGAGAGTCAGTCTCATGCAGACTGACCAATGAAGAGAGGGCCTCAAGTTAAGACCCTCTCCTCATTGGTCAGTCCACACGAGGTGGGTCAAAGGTTACTCTGGGCGGGTTACGTGTTGTCAGGCATTCAAGTATTGAGTATATTTACTGCATATTACAGTAAAATATTCTGTATGTGACCACATTATGGTGATCCTCGGGTCGTGATGATGGAGCCCTTGAATATTGTTGCCCAGGGTACAACAATGTGTTAATCTGGCCCTGGTTCCGCCGTCACATTCCCGCAGAAACTGGTTGATCACACCGGGGCCAGACTACTAGCATGTGGTTTTACAACCACAATGTCCTCAGAAGCAAAAACGCTTTTAAAAGGGAGGGAGGAGTCCTAACTCTTGCTGCAGGCGTGTTGTGTGAGAGTGCAGTTATATACTGGTTAATATATTTTTGGGTTCAGTTGCTTTCATGTGGCCTAATGTGAGTCTATTTGGGATCATTGGAATGATCAGCAGCATTTCTTGATGTGACTTTATGGCAGTTGCCCAGGGCATCATCACAAGGAGGATGGCATTCATTTACTTTTGTTTTATTTGGTATTTTTTCAGTCATTTTTGGAAATAGTGATCAATTTTGATTAATTCACAGCCTATGTTTAATTACATTTAAAATAAATGTCAACAGATGAGATCAAACAAAACAGATGAGAATTGCCCTTAAGCTGTTTAACTTGGACCAAGCATTTTAGGTCACAGATAGATGTAGCTTAGGGTCTCTGTCTATACACCTTATAAGACAATTTAGGTGATGGCATGTTGTTTTTCTGCTATTGAACTGTTTTCTAATAATGTTGTGTTAAATAAAGTGAAGGAAGGAGAGAAATAACGTTTCCCTAGCAGTTTTTAAAAATTTCCCCATGTAATCCGATTAATCGATTAATCGTGTCGAGACCCCATCCGATTAATCGATTATCCAAATAATCGTTTGTTGCAGCCCTAATATTCAGGCTTTGTCACGTAGCAAGTTATATTTATCTTGTTTAATTGGAGCATAGAACGTAGCATTAACATTTGTAAACTAGTAACAGCCGTAATTCATGTGGGTCAGGTTAGTTTGCTACAAAATAAAAAAAAAACAGAAGAAGTCAGTGGGCTAGGCTGTTTGCGTGAGTGGGCGGGGCTGACTCTGGTGCAGCTCCGCCTTTGTGGTTCTGCAGCGAGCACCCTTTCTAGTCAGGTGAGTGTCACCGAGGAGAGCTTGTTATAGGCCCAAGGTAAACACCATTATTATGGAGAAAGAAAAAAGATCATGTAATTTTATCAGTAAAATTGTCTTTATTTGGCTTTCACTGTCCTGTCTAATAAGTTGAAACTGAATTTCCTGACAGTCTTTGGTGGACATGGCACCGAAGTACATACTGGAGCAGTTTCTACAACAGGAGCTGCTTATTAATATCACCGAGCACGAGGTAAAAAGCATATCATGTTCTTTTTTTTGTGTACATACTGAGAATAGTGGGTTTCAGTTTTGTGTCTGAACTTTCAGCTTGTACCTGAGCACATCGTCATGACGAAGGAGGAAGTGACCGAGCTTCTAGCAAGATAGTATCCTTACTGATTTCCTCTTTTTACTATGCTGCAGGTTTTGTGTTGACGCTTGAGGGCTTTTATTTCACATACCTTTGTTTTCTTTAACATGATTACTTCAGTAAACTAAAAGAAAGTCAGTTACCGAGGATTCAGGCTGGAGACCCTGTGGCGCGCTACTTTGGCTTGAAAAGAGGACAGGTAAAGCACCGAGTACTTCCTGTTCACATGTAAGAGTTGTACAGGACCTGTGACCAGTTTTCATTATTACATGTCACATCATGAGTTCTCTAACTTCACTTGTATATTATTTGCCACTCATTTACATTTTATACAAACTGCTGGGTTGTCATGGGCACAGTTATTGTCCAAATGCAAACACAAATAGTTTTGAGTTTTGCAACTGTGACCGTGCTTTCATGCAGCCAATAGCCCGGTTCCACACGGCCATGTAAACACCGGCAAAAACCCAGTTGTGCTCATAACCGGGTTTTTACAAACCGGGTAATTAACCCTGGAGGTAACCCTTTTCTAACCCGAGTATCAGGTCATGTAAACTCTTATCGGGATAACCCTTTCATAAGGTGCGCATGTTCTATTCACAAGGAATCTTGGTCGTTTGAGTAGATCTGGGGTCGGCAACCTTTTCCCATCAAAGAGCCGTTATTACCCGTTTCCCACAGTAAAGAAAACACTGGGAGCCACAGCCGCGGCGTTGTGTGTGGGCCTACCGGCCCTGCGCAGGTGCCGCTTTTTGACGCGTCTCCTTTTAAAACATGTTTACACTGTTCAGACAACAAATCCAGGCTCTGTCTCGTTGGATTGTCATTAAACTTTCTACAGAACGAAACTTTACATTAAGCAATGTGGAAAGGGTAAGAAAAGGATTCAATCAACTTGTTTTTCTCCTTTATTTACAGTGATGGAGGTAACGGCGCAGTGCGCATGGCTCTGGTGTTAATCGAGTTTAATTTTTCTCTTTGCGACAATCTTCACAAGAAGGCAAAACAGCTAAACGGCAGGGTTCACTGACCAGCTACAGTATTTCCCGTGTTTGACCGTTTATTTGGACAGAGAAACCTCAAGGCTGCAGAAGCGCTGACATTTTAATCGTTACACACATCGCAGAGGCAGCTACACCAATCAGGAAAAGATTCCCATCAGAACATCTGAGCATTAAACTGGACACTGTGCTCAGGGCAGCTCGTTGACAGCGTGCACGTAAGGTGGACGAGCTGAAGATGTGGAGAGGGGCTTGAGCGCCTCGTGCACCGGCAGCAGCAGAAGTAAACCGGAAGTGAACACGTAGAGGTCAACATGGCGAGACGCAGCTCGCCTTATAAGCACAATAGCTACGTAACTAAGATCAATTGTAATAATAAATACAGGTAGTAATGTGAGTTATTAGTACCACAAATGCTACCTAATATGCACTGTACCTGATAAAAAAAAACAAATTAACATCAAATGATGTCAAATCAGGTGTCATTTGCTGTTTTGCAGTTTCTTGTGGTTGGATTATGCACATGGTGTTTATTTAGGAAGAAAAACAGCAAATGACTCAAATTGCGTCTTAACGTAGCCCGTACGCCCTGGTCCTGACGCTATGTAATCAGGATATTGGAAGTTCCATGTATACAGGGGTAACACTCTACTTGTGCATGTAAACGGGTTATTCCAAATGTTAAAGTTAATGTTTCTGGAACCCGAATATTGGCTCCATGTAAAGGTAGTCGGTGTCTCACAAGCTGCGTTTTCCCAGGTGGTGAAGATCATTAGACCCAGTGAAACCGCTGGAAGGTACATCACCTACAGGCTGGTGCAGTGACCCAAAGGTAAGTGTGGACAGAACCGCAAATAAAGCATGGATTAAGGATTTGTAGAGAATTACATTCTGGGCATAGAGGGCCGGTACCAGCACTTTTTAGTTGTTTCTCTGCTCAAACACTAGATTCAGTGGTTGAATCACCTGTGCAGCAGCTCAGTGTTAATTACCTGCTGATTGAAATCAGGTGTGTTGAAACAGTAAAAACTGAGGCCCTGTCCACACGTAGCCGGGGATCTGCCAAAATGTAGATATTTTTCTACATTTTGGTCTGTCATCCACATGAAAACTGAGTTTTTTCACACGAAAACGGATCTTTTTAAAAACTCCGGCCAAAGTGAAGATCTGCGTTTTCTCCGTTTTGGGTGTCTGCGTGTGGACAGACAAAACCGGAGTTTTAAGGTCCGCAACGTCACTTTCCGCGACAAAAAAATGCTGACATCACGTGTGCGACCTGTGTTTACACTAGCCGACAGCATGGATGCCCTCAGAGCTGCGCTCGCTTTATCAATTGTCCAAGCGCTTTTTGCTCGTTTGTTTTTGCAAGCGGAATTACTGCTCCTTGCGGAAGACCACAGACGAAGGACGAGGTTAAGAACGGGGGAAGTACTGCCGCCTACAGGTCTGGCATGTCCTTAACAACGTATTTATCCGGGTACGTGTGGACAGAGTTTTGTTTTAAAACGAGGTGGTGTGGATGCAAGTTTTTGGAGGGGCGGATATTCGTTTAAAAAAAAAAAACCGGCTACGTGTGGACTAGGCCTAAGACGTGCTGGATACCGGACCTTTAAGAAAGTAATTGTATACCCATTTGTGTTTTTCAGTGCGCCCCAGTGCAGCTGTGGCTACATCGTAGCTCATCACCATCAGTGTGTGAATGTGTGTGTATGGATGAATGATACACTTTAGTGTAAAGCGCTTTGGAGTCCTTACTCTGAGAGGCACTATACAAGTGTGCGTCATTCATCATAGTAAACACGTAAGACTTGATGATTCTGAAAATTGTTTTCTTTTCAAGTTCTTCCGGATCGAAGTTGAGGACCAGCGGCATCTCACTCATCTGTGGATCGTTAGTCTGCTGAACTCCCAATTTTTCCTGTAATTACTGAATTTTGTAAAAAATAAATAAAAGCATCTTTTGTACTTGAATTGTGGCACAACTCAATGGTTTCAGCCTACAGTGTGTACAAGTGAAAAGTACCTTCCTTCTTTTAGGTTATGCTGTAGCTGCGGCAGGATCTGGAGCCTGATGAACTTTTGTTTAGACCCGTATCGAATACTTCGTCATGCCCGCCCCAAAGTAGTTTATTCAAAACACTAACAGGTTACACAAGTCTGAGGAAAAAAAATAACTCGTGGCCAAGACTTGTAAATGCATGATGGGTGTGTTCCACAGAGCTACAGTGTTCATGTTCTACTTATGTTACCAAAATAAAATGTGTTCTGAATTAAATGAATTTATTAAAATAGTTCAAACATCCATAAGAACAAACAGGAGCCATTTCTAAGAAAATGCTTCACTTTAAATTTCAGAGCTGAAATATCTTCAGCCGCTCGTACGCATCTGTTTGGACCGTTCTCTTGATGAAACCATTTTTCCTTAAACGTTTTCATTAAAAAGAAAAAAAAATGAATTAAAATCTACTAAAAAGAAAGTTTTGTTCATTGCAGTAAAACATTTAAGGTTATTTCCATCAGAGCAGTAAGCATGCAGAAAATTCACTGGCAGGAGAGACAGATCACAGTCAGATTAAAAACTTGACACACAAAGTAGACATTTTGAAACGTATAAAACCTTGTTCAGACAAATTCAGGCTCTGTGTCTCGCTTCCTCGTCAGGGGCAGATTCTTGCTGCTCAGTTGGGTCAGTGGAAGCCCCGACAGGCCCAGTACGGGAGTAGAGGCTTGGTTGTTGTTGGACTGGTTCACGTTGAGCTCTGCCAGTGATGATGTCACATCCTGCTCCGCAGCTGCGTCATCTTCTGGTGATCTGCTGTCCGGCACCTCTGGGGTGTCCAGTTCGGTGTCCTGCTCCTGGTCGGTGTGGAGGGCGGAGTGACTGGACAAGTCCAAGCTGTCCCTGTAGCTCAGCTGGTCTTCGTCCATGCTCACCTCACTCTCCTGCTTCATCAGGCTGCAGGGTCTCTGGCAACTCTCATCCGAGTCAGAGTCAACGAGCTGCTCGCTGGAGCCCAGTGATCCCAGCGAACTTCCTGGAAATCGAAAATACAAACAAAACAAAAAATCATTCCTTTTCCTCAAAATGGCGCTAATGAAAGTAATATTTTAGGAAATGTTATTGAAGACTTACCACATCCCTCCTCCAGCTTGTCAGAGTCTGGTTTGTTCTCCTCTTTGCTCACATCTTCTCCATCACCGGTGCTCTCCGCCTTCTCATGTGTGACACTCTCCTGAAACAGGAAGAAACGTCTTTGGTGTGTTCTTACTGCGTCTAGTTTCTAATTCCATTTTGGTTCTTTTTAAAACACAGGAACAGTTTCTCTTTACCTTGCTAACGTTTCGTTTGCCAACTGCAAAACATCCTCAGAGCTGACGCTGATGGTGGCATCACTTCCTACTCTGGCGACAACGTCCTCTGCTGCCCGCAGATAAACGGAGTAGGAAGCGACGCCACCATCAGCGTCAGCTCTGAGGATGTTTTGCAGTTGGCAAATGAAACGTTAGCAAGGTAAACAGAAACCGTTCCTGTGTTTTAAAAAGAACCAAAAATGGAATCGGGAAGAAACGTGTCAGAATAATATCCTGAATGTCCAAATGGCATTCCCGCTGTGGGACAAAGTTACAGACGGGACTCATGCTGTCCCGTTCCCGATAGCCGCTTTGTACCTGCTGAGTGGAGCGGGAGGATTTGGACTGAGAGGTTTTGGCCTGGAAGATTGAGGAGTAGAAGACAACGAGGGCCTCGACGATCCTGGCCTGGTGGGGGTAGTCTACCAGAGAGGACAGGGATATCGTGGCTCCAGTTGGACGGGGCCGCATCAAGGAGGGCCCAAACACGATCCCCAAGTTACTGGGACTCATCTTGTTGTCTTCCTCCAGTTCAGCAATCCTAGAATGAAGATACAAATAGATCAAGAGGTGCAGCTGGAAACCTTTTGAACCTTTTCTGGTATGGCCACTGACCTTCGAAGATGGCGAGTGATGTAGCGCAGCGTAGCAAAGTTAGCCTTGGGGATCTCCTTCAGAAGCTCCTTCAGGCTGTCCACTAAGACCAGCACTTCTGGCTCGGTGTCTGGGCCTAAATCCACCAGCTCAGGACCTCTGCCCACAGCTGGGCCAGTACCTCCCTCCTCCCCCTCTGCAGTGTCTGCCTCACCCTGCAGGCTCTCCTTAGCCAAACCCATGAGTCTGTTGTACAGACGGAACGGCATGATGGGCTCCGGCAGCTGCAGGAAACAAACATTTACCATAACGAATATTCAAATAACAAAATGCAACATTAAATTTAACTGGTATTTATATGCTGGTGACGGTTCTCCGTCATCCAGGTCATGGTAATCCAAAGTGTTCAAATGAAGGCAACTAGGTTTGTTTCTTGAAGACGTTTCGCTTCTCATCCGAGGAGCTTTGTCAATTCTAACTGGATCATGGGAGAGTCGAGCTGTTTATTTATTTAATGAGCCAAAACTACTATGGGTACCCTGCCTCCCCATCCCCTGATGAGTCGTTGGCCTCTATTGACAGGGAGTCATCGTGTTGATTAGATACAGGAAGGTGCGACCTAGACTGAAACCGCTTACGAATGAGATTCAAAGCTGCATGTGTTTGTCAAACTGGTGTTTGACAGAAAAATCCCAGGAAGTTTGGGATTTTTCTATGACGTTAATGCCAAAAAAAACTGTTTTTTACACACACACACACACACACGTTTCTGAAAACAGTTATTGTTAATTGTAATTCAGCTGGTTGGAGAATTGTTGATTCATCAGCATTTATTTAAACTGAATAAAAATTAGTTCATAAGCTCAGCCAAGTTATTTTTAAGGTAATAAAAAAATTACAAATTTAAATAAATAATGAAAGTTATCAGTGTGCATACATTTACATACACCGAACGACTCACCAGGCTGCTGGTTTTGGGGAAGATTTTTCATGCAACAAAAACACATTTATAACTAAACTTTATGATTTCCTCACATTTAAACAATAAAAGCTGAAAACTTAATGCAACGGTCTAAAACTGGACTCATACATATCTTGCATGCATTTGAATTCTCCGACATGTCTTCCTTGGGTCTAAACGGGCCTGCGTCCGTGTACCTGTCTCAGGTAAAGCTTGAGGACGTTGCTGATATCATGTGGGGAGCACTGAGACAGCTCCACCAGTTCCTTCCCGTTCTCAAAGGCCTGACACAGTTTCTCCACGCGGGTCTTCACCCCATTCACCCGGTAGATTCCCTGTGAGGAGGAAGGAGCGGTTCACACCCAATCGCCTCTGACTGAGACGCCTGGAGCTGCACAGAAAAGAAAAACAACTCACCTTCATCTTAAGAGCACGTCTCTCAATCTCAGAGATGCACTTTGTGATGATGAAGGGGATGCCGTCACTGGCACAGCTGGCAACCTGAGAGAAGTCCCTGCCGAACAGTTGCAAGCGGCCCTGGAGCTTCTTGTGACCACACTGGATGGCCAGAGTCTCCAGACAGCGTTTGTGGCACGACAGGAAACACTGGGAGGGCACAGGAAAGGTGACCATGACTCCCAACAACTAATGCATTCTTCTGTCAAACGACTAAACATACAACCGCGTAGATCATGGAAGCTTATGAGAATTGTAAGAAATGTATTCTATAAAACTATTTAAACAATCTAAACAGTTTATAATAAGAGTTTCTTTTCAGATCATCTTTGTGGGGTTCGTCAAAAGTTGCGAGTCAAAGTCAGGAGAAACAAAAACTAGAAGCAATGTCTGAACCAAATGACGTGTGTGAGGCGATCGCAGCTTTTACTCACCTCCTCACACTCGGCCCCCTGGAAGTAAACGTAGCTGTCACATTCACGACACTTGGCGGGAGTCCGAAGCTTCCTGAGTCGATGCGTCTGGGCAGCTTTGGACAACCCGATGTTACGGAAAGGCCTGGTGGACACCACCACGTCTGGATCCATGCCGTTTATGTCTGAAAAGAAGGACTTCCATCACAAACACACACTCCAAAACAAGAAACACACACAGCCACATGAGGAAGAAAATCTGTAAAGCTCACTCGGGGCTTCAAAGGAGGACACGTGTCCGTCTTTCTCATCCGCTTCCTCATCTGATGACATTGTTCCAGTTGAAGATGTTCGAGCGATTTTATGGAGATCATCTGAAGGAAATCAGTGTGGTTTCAAAAGGGCTTCACACATCCACGGTTCGTTTTGAAGTGGTGGGAAACCAGACTCACTCGTGCTGGCAGTGGGAGAATGTAGGCCTGCGTCTCCTCCGACGCTGTCGTTGCTCACCGTTGAACCCCACGACTTGTGGCCTTGCCCTGAGGAAACAATCAGAGCGATCACATGAAAATCACAACTTAAACGCACAAAGTAAAAAAAATCACTCCTTGCTCAGCATCGCTTACGTTTCCGCTGAGCTTCTGCAGCTGCAGCATCCGTGCTGACGGCAGGACATTCTGAAGGACCGGTGTGTGTGTCGGTGTTGAAGCTGTCGTTTCTTGGTCTGTGGCCGTGGCTGTTCGGTAGATGTTCAGTTAAAATGGTTGTTTTTTCACATTTCCAATCACCGTCTTTAGGTTTCTGGCCTAAGCGATGTGATCGGAGCTCTTACTGTGATGATGAATTGGAGGGAGAGTACGCCTCGAATGTGTAGTGGACGCTGGGCTGCTCGGGGAGCTGCAGGTCTCGCACGTGGGCGGCGTACTGCTGACCGGGGTCGTACAGTTTGCTGCTCTCACACAGGGTCTGGTAGTGGACCGGCAAGGCCACCGTCTGCATGTGCATGAGCTGGTAGTAGGAGATGGTCGCCTGAGGGGGGGGGGGGGGGGGGGGGTGTAGAGTTGAGGCATTTTTAGCAGGGAGACGCACACTGAAACTACTCGTGGTGTGTGTGTGTGTGTTTTCTGACCGAGCGAAGCGTCTGGTCGCTCTGTTTGATGATGTCCTGCAGCTGTCTGAGCACCGTGACCTTTGTGTGCTCCAGCTCCAGCTGCTGAGTGGTGGCATCAGCTATGCAGGTACGGTAGGTGGCCTCTGCTTCATCTGCCTGTGAACACACACCCTGTTCACCTCTTCCATTTTCCCCTGCGCTGTTGCAAAAATTTCAAACGTCATCGATAAGAACCTTGTTGCGAGCTTCTTCCTCCAATCGTTTCTTCTTCTCCAGAGACTTTGCTGTAGATCCTCCTCCCTCTTCTTCAGCTCGGGAGGCTGCCGTTTTGGCCTTCTCGTACTCCTCACAGCGGGCGACATACGTCTGCTTGGCTTTCCGTAGGTTGGCCTCGCACTCCATCTAACCAGAAGACGCGTTTGACTGTTATTGCTGCAGAAAGTCTAAACTATAATGTGCAAAATTATCAAACGTCATACCAGTTTCCTTTTAGCCCGGATCCACTGCTCCTTGATATCCTTCCGCCTTTTCTCGTGCTCCTGTTTGCGCTGCGTCAGCGGCTGTGCAGGGGGTAACGTACAGGTTAGATTCACAAACATGCGGCTAAACCATGCTGAAGCCACGCTGCACCTACTTGGATGAAGGTCTGGTTGTGCAGGGTGGTGTTCGCCTGCTGCAGCCCGACGCTCTGCTCCAGGTCCTGCTCCAGAGCCAGAGAGTAGATGGAGAAGAAGGGCATGTGTGGCTGGAGGAAGGCCACAATAGGCTGAATGTTAGTAAAAGAAGAATCCATGTCAAAAACGATAAAATGTGAATTTTTAGATACGAGATGATTGAGATTTACGTGTGTTATGTTGTGTTTGCAGGACTGGTATAATTTCTGGAGGCCTTTGGAGAACTCTGTCTCTGGAAAACAGGATGTTCACGTGTTTTTGTTTAAAACAAAATCTACAATCATTTGTCTTTTAATAAGCTCAAACAAGAGGCGCTTTCTGCTCACCCAGATAAATTCTCTTTTCCACGTAACTAATCAGGTCCTTCATGTATTTGGAAATAGTTTTGGCGAAGAGGAGAGCCGAGTCCACTCCTCCCTCGCTGCGCTGCAGAATCACGTCCACTTCCTCCCCGCGGCCTGCACGTCAGAACACGGGAACAAGTTTGTGTCTGTGGTTGTCCTCCCCCCCAACTACGTCCATGTTTGTAAATGTTAACTCTGTTGTGTTGAACGTTCTCCAAAAATAAAGTTGACATGATTTAATTTGATCTTTAATGCCAAACATGTTTGACTTTTTTAAAACCTCTATCTCGTTATCAGGACTAGTTCATTCCTCAAAGCCACATTAAATCCTGTTCATTTCTCCTGTCCTGTAGTGGAGGATGTCAAGTTTAACAGGTTATAAAATACAAATATAACACAAATAAAGGATTAAAGCATTAAAAAGGTTGGGGTTAGCATCAAGGGCAAAGTAGATTTCGTTATTTGGTTTAATGTTTGTAACAGTAAAAAATAATACTTTTTTCTAGCTAATTTTTCAGAGAATTTAATAAAATTTGTTTTCTGTCCGTCCAATCTAACAAAAAAAAAAAGAGAACATCCATGCATTTTGTCATTTACATCAGCAGGGGGAGATCTGCGGTTCAGTGTTTGGAGCAACTCTTTAAAGAAACTCTTAATTAAATGGATAAAGGGTGGATTAATGTAGCTTGATCACTGGATGTGTGAAGAAAAACACGTTTTTAATGCAACTATTATGAGAATTTGAGGCGAAGAAGCAGCAGTAATTAGATGACAGGAGAGGACGATTGCTGTGTACCCATGTCCTGCAGGTCGCTCCTGGAGTGCCCCCCCTCGGCTCCCTGTCCCGCTGCAGCGTACAAGTTCTCCATTGACTAGAAAACACAAAGAAATCCATCACTGATGAACATCAAGGTTCATCAGCAACTACTGAAGTCCCAGCTGGGAGTGACAATCACTTCATACACAGCCATGGTGGATATTTACACAGTGCACATACAGAGTAATGTTTTTATCAACAGCTGGATTTTAAACTCACTCTGCTCTTCTCCGTGGGAAGCAGGGATAGCAGCGTGCTGCTGTCCACTTCTCCCATCAGCAGCTCGGACACGCTGAGGAGAAACACAACATGACCTCTACAGCGCAGCAAAGCAGCAGGTGAGATTTAGGTTTTACCAGGAGGAAGAGTTTTCAGCGTCATGTGAAACCTCCAGAGGCACACAGGAGACGGGAAGTGATAAAAACATTTACACATAGTGGTTTCCATCAGGTTTGATAGATTCTCTTTGAAACTGCTGTTTTCTACAAATCAGGGTGAACAATAAAAGTGAGCTCTCCATCTTGGTTTTTCTTTTCATGACAGAAAACAAGTCAGAGTGGAGGAGGGGATGAGGAAACAGGCTCATCGTGCAGATTTCAACCGTCTGCCAGCTCACTTCCTCCTAAAACTCTGACAGTTGTTTGGACTCTGAAAGAGCCCAGACCAACAATTGATAAACTGCTGCTTAAAATAAAGAAAAACTAAACAAACCAATTGTTAGTATTGGTTTTTATGAAGAACTGAATAAAACTAAAGCAAGATGATCGACTTCTTAGCAGAGACAAACCCGTTGGTTTCCCGGTTTATAGAAAACTCAAATAAATCATTTTATGGTTTCAATTTATGCAATCTGTTCCTTTAACACACGCCAGGTAGTCAAGTGAATTTTCAAGCTTTGGTTTAGTGACGGTAGATGAAAAACCACTTCCTGTTTTCAGCTTTGTCTCATGCAAATGTGTCACCATCGCTGCACTTCTCTCTCCGTCTCGTTCCTCATAGCAAACAGACACCATGTGATTGTTCTGTTTGCCTTTAGAAACTGTTACCTGCTTGGACACCATCATGCAGCTCAGAAACTGAACAGAAATGTTGTAAATGAAGAGCATCATCATCGTTCTTACTTGCTGCTAAAAGCGACTGCAATGGTTTCAATTGCCTTCTCAAAGTCCTTCTTGTCCGTCTCGTTAGGCGCCTCATAGTGGAAACCTGAAAAAGCCATCAGGTGTTCAGGTTCCAGTAGATAAGAGGCTTTAAAACTCCCGTCTCCACTGCAGAGGTTACCGACCTTTGACCTTGGATATGAGTTTTCCAGCAGCAGTGAGGATCTCCACGGTATTTAGCAGAGGATACGTGCTGATGACCTGTCGCAGAACCCGCAGCACCTCTCCCAAACACTCGTGGGCTACGGGTCTCTGGTTCTCCTTACCTGTGTGATACAAAAACATGACAGGTGAGGGACCAAGAGCAGCTCCTACTCCTAAAAACAGTCTCGCTGCAGCTCAACAGACGTCTTACAGATTTCTTTGAGTTTCTCCTTGGTGATGATCATGAAAGAGTAGCTGAAGGTGCTTTTAGTGTTTTGTCAATATTGAATATAAAAAACACACATGCACAGGGTATGTCTTCACTACGCCGGAAAACAAGAAGCTCACACACTAATATTTCATTGGACCGCCTCTAGCTTTGATTACAGCACACATTCGCTATGACGTTGTTTCAACAAGCTTCTGCAATATCACAAGATTTATTTCCATCCAGTGTTGCATTAATGTTTCACCAACCATACCATACCATAGTTTATTTATGTAGCACGCTTAAAACGCAGCATGGGAGCTGCCCATGTGCTGCACATGCTAAACCAAAACACAACCAATCCAAGCAACTAAAACAGAAGATAAAAGTACCAATCAAAAGCAGATTAAACATGAAGCATACTAAGAACACAATAAAACACTAAAACGAGTCACTGTCTAAAAGCCACATCGTTGAAGTGGGTCTTTAAACGAGATTTAAAAACAGCTACTGATGGAGCCTTCCGAACTTTAATGGGTAACGAGTTCCACAGCTTTGGGGCAGTATGCTCATACTCGTTCACCCCGTGGTTTGTATCGCATCCGGGGCGTGCACAGCAGCAGGAGGTCAGCCCACCTCAACGTGCGCGTGGGTGCACAGGGAGTGAGCAGGTCAGAGAGACGGGATCTAGATCAATCATCAATGCTAGATAACCAAGATTTTGCATTGATGGTGGTAGAGTCTGACCTTCTCCAGCACATCCCAAAGATTCTCAATGGGGTCAAGATCTGGACTCTGTGGTGGCCGATCCATGTGTGAAAATGATCCCTGATCCACTCTTTCGCTATCTGAGCCTGATGAATTCTGACATTTCATCTTGGAATATGGCCGTGCCGTCAGGGAAGATGGAATAACCCGGTCATTCAGTATATTCAGGTAGTCAGCTGACCTCATTCTTGGAGCACATCCTGTTGCTGAACCTAGACCTGACCAACTGCAGCAACCCCAGATCATAGCACTGCCCCACAGGCTTGTACAGTAGGCACTAGGCATGATGGGTGCATCACTTCATCTCCCTCTCTTCTTACCCTGATGCACCCATCACTCTGGAACAGTGTCCATCTGGACTCATCAGACCAGTTTTTAATAATGCGCTGGACAGTTCTTAACCCAGTTTTAGTCGTTTCTGCAATCTCCTTAGATGTTTTCTCTGCTTGATGCATACCAATGATCTGACCCTTCTCTAACAGACTAATGTCTTTTCCACGACCACCAGATGTGACTTTCCACATGGTTGTTTCAGAAATTAGAAGCAACTCATTGCACCAGTTGGGGTTAAATAACTTGTTACCCGCTGAAATATGATCACCCATGTAGTAATTATCCAATAGGAGACGCCGGTCTGTTTACTTGCTTAAATCCAGTCATGACTTTTTCCCTGGGCAGTGCACGACTTGAATCAAAACATCTTTTATCAGATATTTATTCAGCTACGGAGTTCAAAATGAAAAAAGTAAAACTATGAAGTTTATGGCATAAAAATATACAAGTGTTTACTACATATCAGATTTGGTTCAGTGAACTGGCGTTGTAGCGAGGAACGGTTGCCATAGTAACAGCCAGGTAAGAGTTGGATCAACAGGTGAAGTACAGAAAAAGTTAGATCTTTTTCACAATAAACCACAAAAGATTCTGAGAGATCAGTTTTATGTTGATCTTGTGATGCAGTAAACGTGTCCCATTTTAAATGTAGCCTTTCGCTGAAGCTGCTTTTCATACAGGAAGTGCACCGGTAACAGAAGGATCCAAGCAGCTTCTGCCCTGAGAGGCTTGACGGGGATAATTCTTCCCCACCAGAACTAGTGACTGCTGTCCCGTTGGAGCAGCAGAAACCTGCAGTGACACCCCCCCCCCCCCCCCCCCCCAATCTACTGACAACCAAGGTTTTTTTAAAAGATCGACTTTCACACAAATCACAAGGTGCTTCATAAAACACACAAAAGATAATAAAAACGAAAAATTTTCATTTCAAAGACAAATGAAGCTTACTGTAGCTTCAGTACTTTCCAGTGTGACGAATAAAGCAGGATGCCATCATTGACTGGTCTGTTGTTTAAAGTCAGGTTTCTTTTTCCGCTTGCTGTTACAGAACAGACCGATGCGGTGGTTGCTAACGAAGAACCAGCAAGGGTCGCAGGTTTTTCAGTCAGCATCAGCTCTGGGGTCGCCGTAGACGCGTCGAAAGTCTGCTTCCGTGTTTTCTCGGTCTAACTCAAGGTTTTCATCGTGGGTTTTTCTGCCTTGTGTTGCTACCCTCACTGTCACTTTGCTAACTAGAGCAGCTTGCTGACAGGAGGTTAAAGACAGCCGACCCTCAATCCTCCCACAGTTCAACTGAAAATAAAAACGGTGAACAGCAAAAATGAAACGAAGGACCTGAGTGAGCACACAGCAGCAGCAGCAGCAGAGAGGATGTGGCACTCTCCATAGATTAGCAAGATTAGTCACTAGTTTTAACACTGCTCTGCATCTGCTTTCAGCAGCCCAAGCACTCCAGTCACCTTGTTCACCAAAAGTAGTGCATCACAGGCTTTAGCGTGAGGCTTAACAAGAAATCTGATTGCTAATTAGGAAAACGAAGCGTCACGCTGATGTAAGCAGCCCATGAGAGGAGGAAGTACAGCTGTCTGGCACAGGGCGTCCATCAATGCTTCCTGTTTAGAACTGAAACAAATAACAGGACTTCTTTTTGAAGCAGCAAAACATGACAACAAATAAATAAAAACAGCCCCTGCGTTACTTTCAGGTTGTGTGTTTAGCAGGAGGAGTCTGGTCATGTCTGAAGTGTTTCCCTCACTTTACAGGTCTGATTCAAGCTGAGCTGCATTGTGCAGAAGACAAAGAGCAAGTGTGTGTGTGTGTGTGTGTGTGTGTGTGTGTGTGTGTGTGTGTGTGTGTGTGTGTGTGTGTGTGTGTGTGTGTGTGTGTGTGTGTGTGTGTGTGTGTGTGTGTGTGTGTGTGTGTGTGTGTGTGTGTGTGTGTGTGTGTGTGTGTGTGTGTGTGTGTGTGTTAAACAAAAAGCTGACTTCCTGCAGGAGACAAGAGTGTGGTTAACTGTGTAGACGCAGCGGAAACGCAACCCTTCGTTTGGAGGAAGCACAGAGCTCACCCTCTGCAGCGCGGTAGCTCCGCCTTCATTCTGAGCTGGTGCACGTAAAGCACACGCGTGTTCGTAAACGCGGCTGATGTAACAAAAAGGCCTCATGCTCTCGTCATGTGGGGTCCTGTCAAAATGGAGTGATGCTGAGGAGGAGGAGCCTTGTTTAATCTCCAAACGCGCCCTGCAGAAACAACCAACAAACCTGCCTTTGCACAAACACGTGTGTTTTGTCTTCACGGTGGTCAGAGCTCAGTTAGGTGATCCCAGCAGGGGTGGACACAGAACACCACACCGGAGTCTGACTCACTTTGACAGACAAGGCTGTAAATATTTGGATCCTTCTCGCGTGTGTTGACTTATGGCTTGTTTGTGTACACTCCATAAACTCACCCTCATCCAACACGACATCCTTCAGCTTCTCCACGGCCTCGGCAAAGCGAGCCACGTCCCTCAGCAGGGCTGGGATGTCCTCCACCTCGATGACTGTGCTCTCTGCACTCTCAGCCTGAGGAGATGGGATCAAGGCCCCTCTACCCTGACCTTTGGTGTGGACCCATGATGGAAGCGGGAACCCTGAAGATAGACAGAAGCGTTAGTAAACCCATTCAACCCTAGCGGATTCAACTTTTTAAATTTTATTTTCCTCATATTGTTTCCAAATTTTGGAAAGCACTCCTGATCACGTGACAATAAAGAGTTGGATGTTTAGGTTGAAGTTTGTTTGGGACTCACTGGTTGCCAGGCAACTTGTTGAAGCCAAAATAAATGAAAAGATTTTTAATGTTTTAATCTAGCCAGACAGCCCCCAAAACACAAACCTTTTGGAACGCAGCGTAAAGTGTTTCAACCATGCTGGTGAAGGTGCTCAGCCGTCCAGCTCGCGGTAATCCAAAGGGTTCAAATGAAGGCAACTGGACTTGTTTGGTTTCTTAGAGACGTTCCGCCTCTCATTTGAGAAGCTTAGTCAATATGGACACCATAGGACATAATGACATCAAAGACTTCCTGGGGCAGATTCGGCTCGTTAAGCAGCAACAGACAGCTACGGTTTATAAGCTCGACCCTGCCAAATTCCAGTCAGAATTGACAAAGCTCCTCAGATAAGAAGCAAAACGTTTTCAAGAAACCAAACAAGTCCAGTTGCCTTCCTTTTTGGACTTCAACCATCACCATCATCTAAACCCCAAAAGGTAAAGGGGTGGTGGTGAGTCTTAGGTCTGTGTTTTTGTTAGCAAGTTGAACAACTGGATGCATGTTATTGTAACTTTCCACTAAATCTCCTACCAATTAATCCAAATCCATTTAAAGATGGCCACCCCAGCTCATCACCGTTAACCAACACAAGCCCAGCTGTACCTCAGTGAATTTTACAGATGCTGAGCTCAGATTTGGTGCATTAGTACCAGAGAGTCACATATGTGCTACCAGATCTTGCCATAATTCCAGCATCTCTCGACATAAAATTGCCTTATGTTAAAACTGACAGCGTTAGTTTAAGGATGCTTTTGATTTAACATCTTGATCAGTTCTGTTTAGGCTCAGGGGGGGTCATGTTGGGTCACTGGTTGTGATGAAGTCAACAACAGACCTGCTGCACTTGCGTGGCGGCTCAGGGTGGTCGGTCTCTTCAGGGTAGTCACGGGAGACCCACAGCCCACTCCTTGCATTGCCACCAGCTTGCTGTGCTGGGTGCTGGGAGTGCCTGGGCATGACGCGGAGTAGTCCTGCAGGCTGACCGAGCTTGGAGTAAGAGTTGAAGAAGAGGAGTAAGAGGGTGAGGAAGAGAGGCTGGCATCACCCACATCTTTCCGAGGCTGCTCCTGGAGAATGGACAGCTGAGAGATGAGAATAAAGGAGTTTTTGATTCAAAAAATCTAAACGTTTGTGCTTCTGTTCTTGCCATGAGCTGTGAGATGCATGGCCTGCTGGTAAACACGTAGAAAGACTTTCACAAGATCCTGTGCTGCGTTGTGCAACACTTCCCGACTCCAAGCTAGCGTCGGGTGTGGCAAACCGAACATAACATCAAATATCAACTGTTTGGAGTAAGGACATGATGACCTTAAAACGTGTTTACAAAATAAGGAACGCAGGTAAATACTTGCAATTTATAGATCCCATTGTCCTGGACTGGCTTTAGGACTATAAGAAAGATGGAGGTGAATGTGCCAGTACACCTTACATGATGGTGTGGAGGTGAGTGTAATTTAACATACCTGTTTGAGCCATATGGTGTGTTTGTTGGGCAGTATGTCCAGCCTCTCTTTTCCTTTGGACTCAGACTTTTTAACTCTCTGACTAGTCGAGTACGGATTGAAACTACTTTTACCTCCTCGTTTCATTTTGCTCCTCCAACTCCCTACAGCTCAAACTTCATTCTAAATACGGCACAGTTTTCTGGATGTAAGCGGTCTCACACACACACACCTGCAGTCTCTTAACTGCTGCTCCAGTGGCAAGACCCCCACATGGCAGTACTTCCTATAAAGTACTTGATCAGATAGGAGCCAGTGTGCGGTCAGGTCTGCCCTGAAGGTTTTTAAAGAGTCTCACTCAGACCGATGATATTCTCACCCTGATCGCTGCAGCAACTGTCAGATAGCTACTAAAGTGTCAGCTGGTGTAGAAAGAAGTCACCGAAACACACTCACTCACACACACACACACACAAAATCAGGAACCCTATGTTCAGCCTGTACTCCCCAGCTGAAGGTCATCTGACTCACCAAGCGCGCGGCCGCGCGCGCGCGCACACACACACACACACACACACACACACACACACACACAAGTGATGCGCCACTCACTGACGGGGCGCCGCTCTGCGGCCCGGGGCTTCCTGCGCTGCTCTTCTTTGAGATGGATGGTGTTTTGATCAGCTCCCGCTTCTTCCTGGTGAACATCTTCAGCGTGCCTTTTCCGTCCATCCTGACCTCTTTGAGTTTTACGCACAGCCCCCCCACCCACCCCCCAACTCGCCACTTGTGCGTTCTGCCGCTGGCCCTCAGCGGGACGTCGGTGCCATCCGGGCCAACTCTGAGCCACGATGACTGTCTGAGTGTCTTCCTCCTCCTGCTGTCGCTCATCGAGCCGCGCAGGCTCACTGACGCACAAACGGACGGCTCGACGCGCACTGGCTGTGCGCATCTAAGAGCATCCGCTTAGCGCGCAAGTGCGTCGAGGGAGGGGGCGCAGGACACGCGCACGGATGAAATTCACCTTTCCAGCAAGTTTTCTCTCAGCTGGAATAAAAGTCCAGGAGCAGTGGAGTAAAACCACAGCATTCCCGAGTTGTTGCGTCTCCGGGCCGCTGCTGGTACACAGAGACAAGGCGGCTCCAAACTCAATCAGTCAGTCCGGACGCACGTGTGTTTCCAACATGTGGCCTCCCTCCACCCTGTGCACCTGCTCTTCACAAAATTACAGCCCGGTCCTCTTTAAACTCCTGAGATCGGCTTCTCGCACTATATTGTTTAACTCTCTTCAACTTAGACATTTTTTATTCAGACACTTTAAATTGACTTTGTTTTTTCCTTCTCTTTATTTTTTAAGGAAATGTTCAATCTTGTTTATTTTTTAATCTAAGTAATATTATGTTGACATTTATGAGAGTCCTGCAAGTGCTACAACTGTTTTTAATTTTATTTTAATACCACCAAATATAAGTTTGGGTCTCAGAAGGTTGAATAGCATACTTTACCCCAAAGTTGAGCATTTACTTTGAAATGCCTCAGTGAAATACTGGTGTCAAGCCAGCCTCCAGTTTGTTTTCTGTTCCCCGTCTATTCAAATTATTACGGGAATTGAAGTGGAAACCGGATTTCAAAATGAATTTCAACTTCGAGTGAATTATCAGATATTTTAAGAACGCAATAACAAATAATTTAGGCTTGTTCACTATTAGCGCCCTGTCAATATCAAGGCCATCTTATTTTGGATTTATTGTGAATTTTCATTTTTGAACTACTCTTTCAATGACTTCAGAATGCTCTTAAAAGCAAAAGTCATATTTCCAAAGAGTAGTTGCATTTTGTATCAACACTATCCAACCACAGCAATTTTATATTTGACCAACTCTTTTAACGATTTCAAAATGCTCTAAAATGAAAAATTGCTGTTTCCACAGGGTAATTCCACTTTAGATCAACAGTATACAACCCCACAGTGATACTGTATCAATATCAATTTATTCTGATTTTGCTTTCAAAAATAAAAGCATTTTCAAACTGCCCATATCAGACTTACTCCTGGAACGGTTTCAAAAAGAATAATTTCTGTTTTCACAGGGTAATTCCACCTTAGAATTATTCTGAAATGTTTTTTTTTATTCTTTCTGTTACTCGCATGTATGTTTTGATGTGCATTGGTTTTATTTTGAATGACATCTCCAAGGCCCTTTAATTTATAATAGTCTTGTATTGTTTGTTATTTTTCCTTTGTTTGTCAAGAGTTCACCACATTTAAAACCCACAAAAAAAGACAATAGTTAACTTTAAAATTAGTATAGAGGTGGAGAATAAACTCAGCCGTGGTGTCTTTTGTCTTATGCAGTCAGAGAGATTATTGAATGTTTGGGTGGATGCATTTTCCTCTGTGGTGGGTTACAATGTGCGCCCACCATCCCGGGCTCCGTGGGGCTTGGTGGTGGTGCTAATGTAGGCCCCCGTCCAGATGGACATTTGTGGCTTCCAGGGGTGCCTACTTGGGTCAGCGGGGGACCTGGCCACACGAGAGAGTACTTTGCCTTCACTTCCCTCCCCTCCTCATCCCCACTCCATCACACCACCATACATGCAGGGCTTTGGGTTAGCAAGCACCTATAATGGTATCATGACTGCACCTTTTGGACTTTACAATTTACTCTCCTTGTATTGAGCTGTTCCCTTTTTCTGGGATTTGTTTTCAAAGATAAACAGATTTACCTATCTTGCTTTTATGAAAATGGTTCTATTTCATAACATTACAAATACAAAGAAGATTGTGTCATTAATATGTAAAGACAAGAAATCCACTTCAGTAAATTTTAATAAATAAAATCAGACTGACTTAATGTTGATATGGAATCACTGTGTGGATGTATACTGTTGATCGAACATGTAGTCATCCTGCGGAAACAGCAAAAATCTATTTAAGAGCATTTTGAAATTGTTGAGTTAGTCGTATATGGGCAATTTAAAAAGGTCTTTATTTTGGAAGGCAACATCAGAATAACTTGATATTGATAAAGTACCACTGTGGGGTAGTACTGTTGTTCTAAAGTGGAATTACCTTGTGGAAACAGCAATTTTCTACTTTAGAGCATTTTGAAATCCTGAAAATTAGGTAAATTGTGGACAATTTAAAAAGGCCTTTATTTTGGAAGGCAACATCAGAATGACTTGATATTGAGAAGGTATCACTGTGGGGTTGTATACTGTTGATCTAAAGTGGAATTACCCTGTGGAAACAGCAATTTTCCATTTTAGAGCATTTTGAAATCATTGAAAGTTTGGTCGGATATGGGCCATTTAAAAGCCCTTTATTTTGGAAGGCAACATCAGACTGAGTTGAAAATTCACAGGGCTTTTACTTTGAAATCCAAAATAAGATTGCCTTGATATTGACAGTCCGCTAATAGTGAACAAGCCTAAATTATCTGTTATGTTCTTAAAATATCTGTTAATTCACTCGAAGTTTACTTTTATTTTGAAATCCGGTTTCCACATCCCTTCCCGTAATACTTTGAATAGACGGAGAAACGACAAACTGGAGGCTGGCTTGACACAAGTACTGAAATCAGGGGGCCATAGAGAGGGGCATCGCCTGCAAGCCCCCTGTTGAGCACCACTGTCATAGATGAAGATTTTTGAGTCTTTGATCTAATAATTAAGAACCGATTTTATTTTAAAGTAAAACAATACTTTTGTTCCATTTGTAAAATAATCTTTCCCTTACTTTGGTTTTACAAATTTGAGTTTAGCTGGCACCTTTTTAAGTTTATGTAAATAAAAAATGATAGCTTACAAATATCTGTCCCCGGAGTCAGAACGGCAGTGTTTTTTTATTCTGGCTGTTTCATGCGATAATTATTCAGAAGGATTTAAAAATGTTACGCAACTTTGGAGTAATTTAAGTAACTTGCTTTATTTCTCTCAAAAAGAGATTTAATTCTAAATGAGAATTTTATTTAATAGTTGTAAAAAAAACGTGTCAATTTCCTCTTGATTAGAGATTTTAAAGTTTTCAGTCCTATAATATAGTACCTAAACCTCTTTAACCGTAACAGTAAAACTGACCACCAGTGATCGTGTCTGATCTCATATTGCAGGTTTGACTCTAGAACAATCAAATACACTCATTTTAAAATCAGGAAAACAGTTTAATGTAGAAAAAGGCGTTTAAAAAAAGGAGCTAAAGTGACAAACGGCCTGGTGTTTTCTGTGGACACAGACTGGTTTAGAAGAATCTCTTAAGACATTTTATATTTTACAACATTACAAAGGCACTTTGATCCAAATGGTCTCCGTGAACATTTTGCCATAGATGTAGTTAGCAGCGACAGTAGCCTCCTCTGATCTCACGGCCCCTCAAATCCATCGAATACAAAAGTTTCTTAGTGACTGCATTACTCCTTTGTCTAGAGTTCAGTTGCAGGACCCCATTCAATGTCGTCCTCTTCATCCACCGCCTCCTCCTCGGAGCTGTCGCTGCCTCGGATCTGCGTGCGTCTGTACTGGACGGCTTGGTGGTGGTGAGCTAACCTGTGCAGGTGATGAACAGAGAGGAGGTGAAAATCAGCAGCTGTTGGGTTTGCCAGAATCCTTTAACTGAAGACTTACACAATGAACGCAGGGGCTTTCTTTTCCTCCGCCTGGGCCTGTGGCTCAGCCATTCGAGTCTGCAACAAAATATGTAGTAAAAAATAAAAAAAAAACTAACTACAGCTGACATTTTATATGATTATGCCTTCATTGTTATTTATAAAGTAATTTGAAGTTTATTCTCAAGCAAATTTATTTTGATTTGGTTCTTCATTTCAGTAAAAACAGACAGGAGACAGATTTGCTTAAACAGTTGACCTGAGATGTAAACCAGATGTAAAAGCCACAGGGAGACTTGTTTTTTGTGCAATCATGCAAATGAGATTGCCTCAATCCTCAACGCACGGGAAAACCTCCGAGAGCATGAAGGAAAACCTCCAGTCGTCTAAGAACAAGTGCATCTCAACCTAAACTGAAGATTTTTTTATTCTAATTAATACTAATAATTGTTACAAGTACCATTTATAATTATTCTTAAAGCTGCAACTTAAACCAGACTAACTTCTCTAATCCAAATGTTTTTGTTTGCTTTGTGGAAAATAAAGACTCACATGTGCAGCAGCAACAGCTTAGAGCCCCACGCTCACTTTAGTGAGCTTTTCCTAACTTTTCATCAAAATAATAATAATAATAAAAAATCCTTTCAATCGATTCTTTGAAAATTTACGGAAGTTTTAATGTTGAAATGGCTCTGGGTTGGAATTTTGTAGGAGTACAAACCTGCTCTAATCTCTGTTCGATAGCAGAGAGGCTAGCATGCGGATTGCTCTCTGGCTGCTCCTGCTCCTCCTCTTCAAATTCATCATCTTCATCATCATATGAAGGCTCATCTACCGAGTATCCCGTCACGGGATTGGGAGCCACAAAATCTGGTGGTTCATCTGAGGGAGTGTTGTGTGCAACTTCATCTAGAGCATCAAAGTCTGAGTCAGAAAAGCTGCGATGAGATGGATCTTCTTCCTCCGCAGCGCTCCGAGGCGGGCTGTGACTCTCCAGGCGAGCCGACCTGGGCTCAGGCACTTGCATCAAAGGTGGGATTTCCCTCTCTGGATACTCGTCATCACTGTCCTCTGCTTCATCTGCAGCACTGTAGGCTGGCTCAGATGACCGGGCTAAAGCGGCTCCGGCTTCCCTGGAGCTCTGTTGGTACTTGGCAGCGTTCCGACCTTCTTCCAGATCCTCGTTATCCGTGTAGGCCTCTCCGTCAGTGAAGGGCTCTCCATCAGTGTCCTCCAGGTCACTGGCAGCACTGAGGTAGTCTGTCTGAGTTTGGTCCAGAGCATCTAGATCCTGATCTCCGGTCTCCAACTGCACAGATGAGAAAGGATGGAGACGTTAAAAGAAAATCCTCTCTACCGTCTAATAGGATTGGCTCTGAATGCTGTTCTCACAGGACCAACACACATTTACTCACATGTTACATGCTAAATTACACATGATCATAAAGCCATAGGGGCTTAAAACGTTCACACAGAACGGCTGCAGGAGAAACATGAATCAGGAACTCAGTGAGGCAGGGGCGTGTCCAGGGAGTGGCCTGGGGTAGCACATGCCACCCTTGGAATCGGATTGGCCACCCCAGGTGCCACCACACTAATTTACCTTTAAATAGGCTTTTCATTGTTCACAAAAGACTTGGGGGGTAAAACAAAAAAGCATAGCCATTGGTGCCACCCATACACAAAGTTGTGCCTCACCTGGGCCACCCCATTTTAAAAGATCTGGACACGCCACTGCAGTGAGGCAACAGTGCACCCGTGTGACTGCAGAAAAAAGTGGGACAGCAGTAGCTCAGGAGGTACAGCGGGTTGTCCAGTAATCGGAGGGTTGCACGTTCGATCCCAGCTCTGACTAGAGAATGCGGCGGTGTCCTTGGGCAAGACACTTAAACCGCCTTGTCTGCTGCTGGTGGTCAGAGGGAACGGTGGTGCGTGTGTCCGACAGGCCTCGCCTCGGTCAGTGTGCCCCAGGGCAGCTGTGGCTACATCGTAGCTCATCACCATCAGTGTGTGAATGGAGAAATGACTGACTGTGTTGTGAAGCGCCCTGGGTAGGGAGGCGCTGCACAAATACAGGCCATTTACATGACTCTGACATTCTAGGTGCTGAACTAGTAAATATTAATCCATCTGAAGAGTCCAAGGTTGTTTAATAAAACCACAAATTTGTAGTTTTATTACAGATCTGTAATTTATTTTAAAATGTTCTGAGTACACTTTTTTAACCTTTAGGTTAGTTTCTAAGAAAACCCTGGTTAAAACAGAAACGTTCTATTGTTTAGGCGTGTTTGATGTTCCGTACCGTGACTTCAGGCACCCAGACAGGCTTGAGCTGCTGGTGCCGGATCTTTTCCTTCAGAGTGTCGTACCAGCTGTTGGAGCCAGGCTGCAGGCCGATACGGGCTGGGAAGGGGGTCAGGACATGGGAGGTTGGTCTAAATTCTTAAAAACCTGAAGTTACCAGACATGCGTCTATTGTAGGTTTGCTCCAGGTTACCTGAGAACAGGTGGCTGCAGTGTTTCTTCATTTTCATAGCCTGTGAGTAAAGGCGCCTGGAGCTCTTGTTGGAGCTGGGGTTGTACCTCTGCCTCATGGCCTTCACGTCTTTGCGGCTGTGAGGGTCTAAGAACAGCACCATCGGGTGGTACTGGATGTAGTTCAGCCTCTCCACCGCAGTGGGCGTGATGTCCAGTAGAGGGTGCTTATCCTGGCAGAGCAGGGAACAAAAATACAGTCAAACAGGATGTTCGTGCTTTTAAAAGTAAACACATCTGTCAAATCTACGTATTGGCTGGAGTTTCAACAGCTGCTGCTCACCTTTTCTGCTATTTTCCTGACCGTGTCCAGTTTAATAACCGTGGAGCTGCTGTCTCCTCCACCGCGAGGAACCATCTCTGTCATTATGGCACAGGACAAACACAGTTCAACACCGGCAAAGCCTCAATACAAACACTAAAACCACATTACTGCTATTTAGAAGTGAAATATTTATAAAAACAAAACTAACCTGCCACCTCATATTCATCAGGCATCTCTCTGGCCAGCTTCTCCATGGCAATGTCATTCAGAGGACCCAGGATGACAATGGGCCGTTTGAAATTAGCTAAAGAAACAAAACAAACCGTTTTAACACCTGTTGTTCCGGTTTATTCGTTTCTAAAGACTTAAGTAACAAGAATGCTGACCTTCCCTGAGAAGGACCCTCTCGTAGGCCGGGAATTTGCCCTGAATGGTGAGCTGCAGCAGGTCATCCCGAGTCCGCCTGTTGCTCTTCTCGTTCTTTTTATTCCCTCGGAGTCCTCGGAGTTTCCAGAACTCTGCTCGTGGGCCTGAAACCGGCCTCTCTGCAGTTGGCCTCTGCGAGCGCTCGATGGCGGCCAATTTCTCCGCCCTGCAGGAGTAAAGCGTTAGTAAATCATGGAGAAAAACAAAAATCTAGATGGAGGAGAAGGAAGAGGAAAGGGAGAGGCCTTTCCTCCTTCCCTACCGGGTCTGGTTGGGAATGATGCCTTTATCCATCTCACGCAGGTCATGCCCCATACGGATGGCGAGCCAGTTGCTCATTTTCCCACGATGCATCGTGTCCACCACCCTGAACACCTCTCCTCTGGTGAAGCTCAGACCAATAGGACTGTCCGCCTCGTGATCGAAGTGCGTGCGGATGTAGAAGTTGTCTCCCAAACTGGATCCAATAATCTTCTTAAAAACTAAAGAGGCGAGGTTAGAGCTGATGAATAATCTGAAAAGTTCACCTTTGACCTTTTTTGTTCAGCACGTACTGTCCATCTTTTTCTGCGTGGAGATCTCCACTGGTTCTCCCGCCGCGATGTTGAGGAGGAAGTTGGCAGCTTCTTCTCTGGTAAAGTGGCTAAAATCGACTTTATTTACCTAAAAGAGCAAAAGTCGGTTTTAGCTTTGTAAGCTCTAGCTTGAGCTGGAGTTTTAAACCCTAAATGTGGTCACCTGTAAGATCTGGTCTCCCTCCTTCATTCCCTGTGCGTATGCGGGGCTGTTGGGCTGAACTCCGCCTACAAAGATACCCACGTCGTTGCCTCCCACCAGCCTCAGGCCCATGCTGTTCTCTTTAACAAACCTCACCGTCTGCACATCTGAGCTGTACCTGACAGAACACAGAAGAGAAGAATTGTAATTAAACTGTTCGTGTTTTCATATCAGGAGTAACAGATATAAAAAATCCTCACCCTGGATTAGATGATGGGTAAGAATCTGGAGGTAGGAAATAAAGCGGCTCTTCCTCAGGTTTGGCTGCAGGAACAATGTAAAAAGTGAGACTCCAGATTTTTATTGATGGTTTCAAATTTTAAAGGACACTGATCAGATAAAAACAACATTAAAAAACAATCTTTGAGTGATGATTGGTGCGGACCATCAGTGGGAGATCATTCACATCAATAAGAAAATGCTTTATCATACAGAAATGTGAAGTCTTCCTGAGCCTTACACTGGAGCATGGGGTTGTTCTTCACTGAAATCCCAGAGCGGACCGTGGAGTTTCCATTCGCAGCTCGGGGAGCTCTGTCGGGACGGACAAGAAGCCCTTTGTGATCAACTTGCTCCTTTGTTCTGTCTAATGAAAGACTCTTCAAATATTTCCCCACATAAGATTAATAAACTGAATGTGAACTGGAGGAGGTTGAAGCTAAATGAAAATTCCCCCAAATCTGTGTCTAATAATCTGTCAAGTTTCAGACACCTTCAGAGCAGCTGCTGCCGTTTCCAGAAAGCTTTGCAAGTAATCTGCATCGTCTATTTTCAGGTTAATAAATCTAAAAAGGACTCAAACACATATAAAGAACAATCCATGGGATTCTTTTGAACTAAAAACTGTTGCTGAAACATAGTTAAATCTTGCAGATCTATATTTTACTGTATATCCAACAAAAATACACAACTAGAACCTGAGCAAATCAACAGGTTTGTCTTCCTAAAGAGTTTATTTAAAACTAATTATTCTAGTAAGTTTGAGAACATTTCAATCATGAACCCCTTCTGCAGATTTCTTACATTTGGGATTTCTCAAACAAAAACATGACCCAACAGAAACCAAAGGGAAAGGTTTAAAGCCGTACCTGCGTTTGCTGTCCTCTCGCTCTGAGCTGCCAGACCTCCTGAGGTGTGAAAGCTCATCTGACTCTGAGGAATCTGAAAAAGAATTAAAAAAAAAAAACACAATTTACTACAATCAGTCTGCTTTATGAGCATAAAGAAGGCTAAATGCTGACCATCAGGAGGAGGTCTGGTGGGTGGTTGGACACTTCGTGAAGGCTCTGGCTTTGCAGCAACTGAAGTGGATTTCTTAGGAAGGATACTGAGAAGGTAAAGATGAAAGTCAGTAGGGATGTAAGAAAATATCGATATGGCAATGTATCGTGATATTTTTCCCAGCAATATTATATCGATTTTCAAAAGCCGTGTATCGGAAATATCAATATGGCAATATATTGTGATATTTTTTCTTGCGATTATTACATCGATATTCAAAAGCAGTGTATCTAATTCCTGAAAGAATTTACATGCAAACATTTGTGTATTTTCTTTTCATTTCGCGCGATTCAATCGCCACCCGCTAGTTGGCAGCAGTGTGCAACGGGTTTTGTTTCCACCACTGAAATGTAAATTCCTCCATCATGGTTCAGATACCTCATGTTAAACATGTTACGTATCAGTTTGGACTGTTTATTGAACATTCTTACAATAAATTCAGTAAAACGAATTGCTTGTAACGTCTGACTGAATGTATCGCAATATATCGTGATATATCGCATCATCTCCCCTGTATCGTGATATGTATCGTATCGCCAGAATTTCAAAAATACACATCCCTAAAAGTCAGCCTCAAGTTTTCCGACTGTGGACAAAACGCATTCGAGTGGGCGTTATTCTAAAACCAATGGTGACAAAGTTTTCTGGTGTCTAGGCCCAGGTTTGGAGGACAGCTGACCATTAAAAAGTTCATCATGAAGACAATGTGTTCCGTTTGTAGACTAGTGCAGAGATGCAGGTGTTAACCATCAACAGCTGGTTAAACTTTGATCCATGGCGTGTTTATTTTCAGACTAACTTTACTGGAAACGTAGGACAAAAACCTCTGAAAGTCTTTTAATGCGCCAGTCAGCAAACATTCATTCTGCTTGATCTGAACTGAAGTTAGGGTTGAATGGGGCGTCATGATGTTGGTACAATAATTAACGAACGAATGGAGAAATATGAATCAAACTCTCAGAAAGTAAAATTTCGAAGTAGATTTAAAACGCATAAAATCATTTATATAAAAAAATCATAAGAATTTTCAATGTCTTTTTTTCCCTTCTTGATTTTATTATTTTTACTCATTTGTCCTTTACTTAACTCCGACTGTTACGAGTGCTTTACAAATAAAGTTGAGGCGATTTGACAAACAGATGATTAGATTTAACTGTGAGGAGCTTCTCACCTGGGCCTGTTGGTGGTGTTGTCTTCACTGTCTGTGGAGTCCTTGCGAGGGACAGACTCATAGCTGGGCTCTGACTCAATGTCCGAGTTAGCTGCAGACGTGGAAAGAAAAAAAATAAAAACCAAGAACATTTGACATAAAACACCCGTTTGATCTGAGCTCTGGGTGGACATGCAAAGACTGACCTTTCGGTGGGAGGCTGTCGGGCGTGCTCCAGCGCGGCGGCTCCACCTGAGGCTTCAGAGCAACATCCGGCAGGACTCTGGAAGAGAAGAGAGGGAGGTGGGAGTGAGGGAGGAGAACAACACATCTCAGTTATGATTGACGAGGGGGGGCTCCAGCAGCTGTAATGATGGTCTGAGACTGAAATTTTAAATATTCACCTGATTACCTCTGGGGAAGCTCACGCTCTTTGGGCCGATTAACTGCTTTGTACTCGATCAAACTACCTGCTTTATTTACTGCTGGTTTAAACCGATTTTAACTCGTGCAGCAGATTTTCAATCAGGGATCTGAGCTGCCTCTGTTTAATCAGCACTCACATACAAGAGATACATACATGTTCAGGGAAAGAACGTTTATTTTATTTCATGAGTTAAAACGCAAACACATTTCATACAAGTCCAAACCACAAACCAAGCAAAAGAAAGGTGACAAAACACGAATAAAAATAGAAAATTAAAAGCAAAAAGAAAACCAAAATAAAACAAAAAAATAAATCACAAAAACAGAAAAGTGTCATTTACATTAAAAATAAATGCACATCATTAGCTGGGGTTAACCAAAAGAATAGTATTTAATCAGCTGTTTCCACTCGATGAGATGCTGGTGATTTTCAGGTGGGGGTGGGGGGTGGGGGATTTTGGAGGACCTTCATGTGTACCTGTATCTGGAGTCCAGGCCGTAGGAGGAGCTGAGCCTCTGAGGAGGAGCCATGTTGGTGTTTGACCCAGAGTCAGAATCAGAATCTGCAGAGAAACCAGGACGGAATTAAAACACAGAGGTGGTCTTATCCTGATTTCACATCTTTGAAAGTGTTTTGCCCCAACAGGGTGTGTGTGTGTGTGTGTGTGTGTGTGTGTGTGTGTGTGTGTGTGTGTGTATAGACCTGGAGGAGGGATCCTAACAGGGGAGTTGACCTTTCTAAGAGGATCCTGTCGAATAAGGATGGGGGAAGAGCTCACATCAGCAGGAGGAAGATCAGAAAGAGACCTGCAGGGATAAACAAAACCATTTAATGCGATTAAGATGAAAAAAAGTCACGTCAGTTTAGATTTCTTTGAACAATTGATTAAATAAATGTTCTGTACTTGTATCTGTCCAAGCGAGGGCTGTCTATGCGCGGCGGCGGGGAGGAGCTCCGGTCAGAATCAGACTCTGACACGGGTTTGCGGGGCCGCAAGGACGAGGAGGAGGCGCGAGACGTGTTCCAGGTAGGGTTCATTGGAGAAAACTTTGGGTTTGGGAGAGTGGTCATTCCTGATAAAGGCCTGCACACATAAAAAAACAAAACAATTCTTTCTAGGTAAAGCTGTGAGATTACACCAATAGAAATCCATGTAATCTTCCCCTTATTATGGAATTAAGACTGGATTTTACACGTGTGCGTGTGTAAAAGAGCTGGGTAGAAGAATAAACGGTAATAATTGCTAATGTGGTGCAGAAGTCGAGCAAATCAGCCCGCGACTGTGGTCATCTCTAACAATCATAAAATATACAAATAAACCTTTGATTTTTATACTTTGGTAAGACTTTTAAGGTTTCTAGTGTTTGATGCATCAATCTGACAAATAAGTGAAAGTTAAAACATACTGACTTGTATTTGTTGGGGTTCAGTTCAGGAACAACTTTCCTGACAGGAGGCGGCGAGGCGCTGCGATCAGACTCTGAATCCACTGGATCTAACGAGACGACAGACAACTTTTCACTTTCAGAACAACATAAGTCAGATCTGAATTTGTTTCCTCTCCCAGTTTTTCCTCTTCTGTAGGCTACACGTTTTTAAAGGAGCACAAATATCGGGTCATCATTTATTGTGTCCTAACCCACCTTTGCGAGAGGTGTAGCTTCTTAGAGGAGGCATGGTGGAGCGCACAGGTGATGTGTCCCGAGATTTGGCCCGTTGAGATGGTTCTGCTCTGGCTCTGAAGAGGAAATATTACATTTTTCAGCACTTTAAGAACAGCATAATCCTCACAAACGGATAATATTTAAGTAACAGAGGGAGCTGGGTTTGTACCTGCGAGTCCGTCTCTCTCTGGTGTGCTGTTTTGATGTTCTGCGGGGGGTGATGTCCTCCTCAATGTCGGAAATGTCTGAAACATGGAAAATATATGTTTTTAAAAGCCAGAATCTTAGCAGACCAACATCCAGATGTTTTTTTCTATTATTTTAGCACTCATCTCAGCTCACCACCTCATTTTTTCTTCTGTCTCTTACCCTCCATCTCCGAGCTGCTGTCTCTGTTACGATCCTCCTCGCTGTTGGGGGCGCTGTCCACCACCTCGGGGATGCTGACCAGGAACCTGCGGTCATCCCTGAGGACCGTCATGGTCAGTTTGCCTCTGCTCTTCTCTACCAGATGTTTGGTCTCCAGGAGTGAGAGATTCTCAGTCGTCATACCGTTGATCTACTCAGAAAAAAAAAAAAAAACAATACACCAGCTGTACGACGGACCCAAGAAGCTTATTTTGAAATTAATCGATTTAAAATTAGAAGAAAAAAAAGTCACCTTTAAAATGAGGTCTCCCTCCTGCAGTGTGCCTTCCTTTGCAGCCAAGCCAGTGTCTGTCATGTGCTTTATAAAAATCTGGCTGCCAAGCTTCAACCCATACTCTGCAGAAAAAAGTAATAAATCAGCACTTCCAAGGAGACGTGTGGATTTTATTTTTTAGACCTTTTAAAGCCTAAATTTTGTATTTATCCTGCTGAGCTCTAAAGACACCAAATAGGAACTCAGCGATCAACAGAAATCTTACCATCTGTGACTTTCTTTTTAGTTAAGGTGGTTTTGATGGGTTTGCTTGCAGAGTAGTTTTGTGGCAGCTTCTTGTACCCCGATGATAGAGGTAATGTGCCATAACCGTTACGGGCTGGAGAGGAGCTGTGAGCACGGTAGCGGCTCGCATCGCGCTGGTCGCTTCCATCAGAGAAGCGCCGTGTTCGCCTGGTGGGATCTGAATCCAGCAGGTTAGATTGGGAGGATGCCCGTGTTCGCCTGGTGGTATCTGGATCCAGCAGGTTGGATTGGGAGGACGCCCGTGATGGCCTGGTGGTGGCCGGGATCTGGATCTTCCGAGGGCGTTTCACCGTCTGCAGAAAGAGAAGAGCAGAGATTTGGTGAGAAGTTATTTCTAGCAGCTTCAGTTGGCGCCCTGTTCATACTCACTATATTTGCGATCTTGCCACATGACTTGAGGGTCTGAATTGTGAAGTTGGAGTAAACATTATCCATAGGAACTCCGTTGACCATGACAATTTGGTCTTTGTTGCTGCAAAACATCAGAAAACATTCTTTAAGTTGCAGAGATGAACACAAGTCCTATTTTCCCCAAGTTCGAATCAAGCAGTAAGATTTGAGGTGCCTGTCTGGGTAGAGTCAGGTCTCTCACTGGATGCTATCCTCCTGGTCGTCCTACAACACAGACCTGCTGTACTGCTAGTTTTGGACTTTTAATCTAGTGTCCAGCAGTAAAACCAGTAGAAAGTAAATGTTTAACTGATTCTGGACTGCCTACAGTTTGTAATTCCAAGGTATTTAGCAGATGCAGTTCTCATCCTAAAAGAAAAAAATCCCACTAATCAGCAGGGGCAGAGTCGTTTACCAAAATAAAAGTCTACAGGACAGTTATTCTTCGTATGCACAAGTTTTGATATTCTTTCAACATTTCTGCTGATTCTTAAACAGGATGCCTGGAAAAGGGGAGTCAGTCTGCAAATGTTTCATCTAACACGAAAAAAAAAAACAGTTTAAAAGGTTTCAGATCATGCCATTTTTAACCTTTCACAACAAAGCTAGGCACCGTTTATGGTAAAAATATAACTATTGCCACTACTGAGATGTCCTATATCTTAAATACGAGTCATTTTCATCACCCTGAAGTGAACCCGAACATAAAACGCGTTGTTTCAGTGAAACTACGCCCTCACTGACAAGATGTAGCATGTCTGCATGTCATACCAGACAGTTGTTGTGTTGGTAGTCCAGTGGTAAAGGCTTCTACCTTCCATTTCACTTCTGCCATGTGCTGACGTGGGTTCGAATCCCGGTGATGTCGACAGTGATTTATTTAGCCAACTGGGGCAGATTTCATGTTTTTTTTTGTTCAGTTTTATTGAACATTTTTTGCAAAACATTTTGTGGTTTTAAAGATCTTTGAATTTGGTCCTTTCTAAGCAGCATTTTAGTCCATTTACTCTGTTCACCTCACAAGGACAAAAAATCCCCAAAGAAAGCTCCTTATATTTTAAACGGTTTACCAATAAAGGGTTGAAAACATCACAATGGCAAATGTAGCTAAAAAGAAGTTACTACTCAGACCGAGATGTGAACCTGCACAAAACTACATAGCAGGCCAGCACTCCAAACACGACTACTGAGTCTGGTACATGGTAGCAGTCACTGAGGCCACACATCCTGAGCTAGCCAGAAGAGACAGCATTTATATCAAGACTAGCTTCTGGGAGAGGAGCAGGGCCTGATGATGAGATTAACTTCTTTGATGCTTTACAAAATTTTCCAAAAATATAACTAAATTTGCAGCAGAAGCAAGAAAATGCAGGAATGCGGCCAAAAATTGATTTGATATTTTTCTCTTGAGGAAATAAAAATATGACACGGTAAAAAGCTCCAAAAAGTGGGTTTTCCATGATATGGCCTCTTTAATTGGTTTAAAGTTAGTGAGTGAGATCCGAGTCCCATCTCTGACATGTTCATGCTTAAACACTTTTCATATATATTTTAACACGAATGTGGGGGACAAGGTCATTTTGAACAAGTACGACCATTTAACTTACAAGAGTCTACCCATGGCTGGTCCATTTGGCAGAACATCCGACACCACCACAGCCGTGTCTCCCGTTTCTGGATGAGGCTTCTCTCTGCCTCCTGAGAGGGCAAAACCAAAACCCACTTTGGAGTCCTGCCAATTTAAAGAAAAAGAAATAAAAGAAAAAGAGAGATAAGACAGAGAGAAAATGACAGGCATGAAAGACAGAAGGAATGCAGGATATTTAGTGGGCAGAGCTGGAGTTGGGAGATGAGATAGCGGGAGACGGAGAACATTCCAGCAGCAGGAGAATGATAAGCCAATCGGTGCAGGGCGCGTCGCTCTGAATTCCTGCTGAAACTGAGATGTCGGAAGAATGGTCCAGTCATGAAAGTCCCTCACGATAGCCTCAAGAATGATACTGGAGCAGCTCCCCACCCCCAGCCTCCACCCACCTGTTTCTACCCAAGTAGCCACTAATCTGAACTGATGTTAATGTAAAAACAAACATTTAACGTGTGTGTTTTTCTTTTCTCCGATAAAATCTTTTCAGCACAAACCCTCACACTCCTAAAAACCTTATGATAAACCGTCACTTACTTTGTTTAGTGTGATTGTGTGTTGCTCCCATATCGTCAACTCCTCCATACCTGGTTTCTGTAAACACAAAAAGACAACAACGTTAAAGTAAACAACGCTCTGATTTCACAGCCTAATTTTTCAGTTGGACATCAAACCACGATTTATTTCCCCTGAAACATAACGCTGATCCTCTCACAGAGGCGGGTTGGTTTGGAAGCAAATAAAAAGCCTGTTTGTTTAACTCAACCTGATCTGAGCATGCTCACACCTGCATCAATCCTGCCTGACCGGTATGGAGGAGGTGCCAAAAGGTGTACACATGCTCCTGTATCTGTAAGGTGTTGGCCTTCACCTGTCTAACAAAAAAAAAGGTAATGCAGCTGCAAATGTACACCACAACGGTCTTCTACAATTCTTGCTTTGGTTGAGAAAATTGACAATAAAAAAAGGACATTTTTGTCTGATGAACCAAATCCCACTAATATTGGGGTTAACTAAAAGAAGCCTCACATCCAGGTATTACAGGTTATAGTAAAATATTTGTAGCTAAAGATAGAAAATTAGTATTTTGACATAATTCTATAATATTTTTTTCCAGTGTACCAGCTTGTTTGTAACAAAGCATCCTCCATAAACCGCTGGGCGAAATACAGTTAAACCCTCACTAATCATTGGATGTCGCTACATGCGATCAGCATCTGGACTTAACCAGACTCAGGACTGCTTTAACAGCAAGTTAAAGGGATATTCTACCTCTCTGTGATTTTTAGTCAGAACTGCAGTGGCAACAAGATGTCCTCACTGATCCATTATTGGGTCTTCCTTATACAGTGATCCCTCGTTACTTCAGGGTTCATTTATCGCGGATTTACGACTTCGGATTTTTTCTTTGGAGCCTTATTCAAGGGAAATTCGCCAATTTGCGGAATTTTTCACCAATTTGCGGTATTTTTCTGTCACGTTTTGGGGTAAGTGTCTAACCCAAGACATACAGAATCAAACTCGAGTCGAGGTAAAAGATAAACAATAATTTTGTTTCTTTAATGATGAGAACTGAGGGCGCACTGGTAATCCAGCGGAGGGTAAACCAGGAAGCGGCAAAATGCGGAAGTTCAGGGTGAATGTGGAGGGGAGTTGAGCCGGGGTGATATCCAGAGGCGAATTGTAGATTTCCAGGTGGCAGAGTAGACGGATGAGGAGGACGAGGTAACGGAGAGGGAGCGTGAGCACGGTGGAGAGCGGGACGGCAGAGCGGAGTTGGTATCCAGGCAGCGAACTGGTGAGTATCCAGAAGTCTCCAAGACGGGAGCGAATCCGGAGGAGAAGCGAGTCAGGCAGTAGTTAATCATCCGGCGTCGTATCTGGATAACCGTCCTCCTTTTAAAGCCGTCCCGCTGATCAGGCTGATGAGGATCAGCTGCGCTCCCTCTCATGTTAAATGAATACTGTAAATATGGTGTCCCTACTTTGCGGATTTTCACCTGTCGCGGCCAGGCCTGGAACGCATCTACCGCGATAAACGAGGGATCACTGTAGATCCAAACTGTTCAGATTGCCGACGTTGTCCATGTTCCGGTCCCTGGCCGCCCTATTTAACGTATCCCTGAATATTCTGCATGCCTCTCGGGATTTTAACATGTTGCTTAACACTTTCTCACAAATCTGCTTCTTTTCTGCAACACACCGTTTGTTTTCACGGTTTGTCTACACTCGTGAGGCCATCAACGTGTCCGCCACATCCCAGAATGCAACAGTAATAACATGTGATCACAAGGCCTATTCCGTTAGCTTTAGCTTAGCATAAACAATCTAAGTCAGGGCGATTCAATGACGGGCCTTGAGAGCCAGTATATCCATCATGTTTTGGTTTTAACCCCGCTTCAACACACCCGAGTTTAATTAGTAGGTGATTAACAAGCTTCTGCAGACCTTAATGAGCTGCTGCACAGGTGATTCAACCACTGAATCTGGTGCTTTGGACCAGAGAAACCACTAAAACGTGCTGGATACCAGACCTTCGAGGCCTGGAACTAAATAGCTCTGATGTAAGTGAATGGTAACAGTTAGCAATTTGTTTAAAAACAGTCAAAATTCCTCATTAATGATCCTAATTTTCCCTGGTGGCCTCAATAATCCCATCAACTGCAAATGAAAATAATCAACCAGATTGATGACTGGGCTGGTTACACGCAGCTTTTCCCCACTTGTATAACTCTGGAGAATACGGCAACAGAACAAAAAAATGACTGAACCGCCTTTTGGTGTACAGAATGAGCTAACGTTTAGTGTAGCCGTAGCTCAGAGACATTCACATCGCATACTTTCAATGCCAAAGATCACGTGAAATCCCACAATACTGTAGAAAATCAAACTTAATGTTACTTTCAATATTTCACCTTAACTTCATAATTTCTCAACATAAGATATTAGATCAAAACTTCAGCATGAGATTGATGTGCATTTGTTCGTGTACCTTTAACATTTACTCAGTTTGTTCATTTCAAATTAATCCTAAAATACTAGATTTTGCTTCCGTCAGTGGACAACGAGAAGACTAAAGTCCAGATTAGGAGATCTTATTGTCCAACATCTGGAAAATAAGAAATCCCTTCACCTTTCTGGGGAAGAAACAAAAAACAAAGGCTTCCACTTGTTTCACACGCTTCTCATGATTAGCATTTTCTACATTTGTGAATGGACTGGAAGTGAACTGATTAACCACCATTACGTTTTTCATGTTGCAGACAGAACGGATGAAACAGGACACAAAGAAGTCGATGAGAGTAAAAAAACAGCTTGGAGTGAATTTAATTAGAATGTGGGCCACAGAGCTACACACTGATGTTTACTAAAGTAGAACATTCACAGCTACACTTGTGTCACTATGCACCAACACCAGCCAATTACTGAAGAAGGTGGGGGATTAATGAGCAACATAACCTCTTGCATAAAGAGTTCTTGAAGAATCTTAACTCCTCGGTGAAACTCTGCAGCGTTTGACCTTCGACTGGTGACTAAATGTTTGTCCTAGTTCATGATTAACCAGAGAGAAAAGACAAAACAAGCTACTAGTGTTAAACTGCTGTTTCAATTCAACCTCACCGGCGCTGAGCTTGTGTGATCACTGGAACTGTTTATGCTCTTTTGAACAAAACCAGATCAGAATCAAAAGCTCCTTCCAACGAGTCATTTTAAAACGAAACTAGAGCGTAAGCGAGGAATCGGAGGACCCAACAGGAAGCAAGTGCCCCTGGATAATAAATCAAGAAGAGCTGAAGTAAAATCAAAGAAATAGCAAAGGGCAAGTCGTGTAAACAGGTCATAAATCTCCGTCTGAAAGGCAAGTAAAGGAGGACAACTCTGCTTCAAGCTGCTGAGAAGACCTACATTTAAAGCTCCCAGTGACAGAAAACAGCAGAACTTTACTTTGAGGTCATGTTTTTCCACGACTGTCTGCAACAGATGGAGAAAGATTACATCAGAACAGGTGTGTTCTTGTGAGCTCATCTCATCTGAGGGAAATTTCTCCAAAATATGTAAATGAGCAGAAGCAACCTGAGCTTTGTTCATGCAGGTATAACGCACGGCATGCCCCTGAATAGGGAGGTCAGTTTCAGTCACCAACTGACAACACGTTTCAAAATAAGTTATTCCAGTTATGGGAGTAGACGGTGATTGAGTTTTCTGAAAGGAGCCTGCGGCCCTTTCTGGGCTTTCTGGTTCTGCCGGCTCTGGAGAATATTTGACTGACTCGCATCTCATTAAACCACAACATGCATCATAATCCACTCTTCTCTACTCTCACTTACCATCTGGTCTTTAAACCTAACCTCCATTTTCCTCTGGGGTTTCTAACCTCAACAACACCTGCGGCCCCAACTGCTGCACAAACAAGACGTCGCTGTATAGTCTATATGGTACCAGGCAGAAACCACAAAACCATCCCAGATCCACAGATTCCTTTGGATTAGCTCTTATGTCCAGCTGAAACGTGACCCTGCTGCAGAAATTATTCACAATACGATCACTTGTGGAGTTTCTCCCTCAGCAGGAAAAGGGGATTTTTTTCCGAAGACCTCACCTGGGGAGAGCTCCTCCCACTTGGGCGTTTGCCCACTCTTATGGTCCCGACAGGGCCCTTTGTTGATGGTGGATTTAAGGTGGAGCTGTGCAGCCTTTAACCTACCAGCAAACAACGTTACTGCTGGAATCAGGGGTCACCTATCCACGTGAAATGAGTAGGAAGGGAAGGTTAAAGAGCAAGTCACCCCCAAATAAACTTTTTTTTCCTGATAAACTATATAAACGAGTGTCTAATCGTGCTGCAGACACGTGTCGTCAATAATTTGGCACTTCAGTGCATCTTAGTTAAAATTTAAATATTGTGCCTAAAACTGGCAGTGTTGTGCCGTTGTCAGGTAAAAACTCTGCACTGTATTTTCATTTAAATCTGCCACCGCTATTGGCTAAGAGGTATGCTATGATGTAAACTGGTACATTATGATGTCACAATGCTGTCGTGAGCCTGAGTGTGTGTATTTGTTAGCAGCTCCGCCCTCTCGGTCTGCCAGGCAACAGCATTTGTTGCATTTTTCAAACATGAAGTGGGAGTGGAGTTAGACTCTGGTAGGGGGTGACTTGCTCTTTAAAGAGGGACTAAATGCTGCTTAGAAATGCAAATTAAATCCCTGACACTTGAGACATCCTTTAGACGAGCGCAGCAGCACACCTGCTGCACCAGGTCCTCCCAGGAAAGAAAACATCTCACCGTCTTTCCAAGTTTCCTTCACTTGTTAGTTATTGATTAAAAAGTTTGCCAATGCTTATCAGTTCATTCGCCATAAAACACTTCAGCAGAGATTGTTTATTGGTGTGTGGTTGTGGTGCGTTAATGGATCCACAGAACAAAACCAGACTTTTGAGTTTCGGATTAAGCTGATGACACATAAAAAACGGCAGATTCAGATTACCAGACCATTATTTGTTGATTAGTGTAAATTCTGACTGTTAATTCGATGGTTGACATCAACATTAAATCCTAATCCTGAAGGGGTAACGGGAGTATTTTTAGTTTCAGATCAAACGCAAAAGGTAGAGCATGAAACCTGACATTCCCCGTAAAAGTTAAAGTATTTAAAAGTTATCAGTTAAAAAGGAAAGAGAAGAACAGGCAGAATGTTTTAAGTAACATGAGTGATTGTTTCCAGTCAGCTCAGTTCACAAAATAATTAGAAGAAAACCATTTTTTGCAATTAAGGTGTATTTAAGGGTGTTCAGTCTGATAAGTTTTTAAGGATTTAGGGTCAGAGTGGTCAAAAAACAGCAAACATCTGATCTTAGAAAATTATTTATATTTGAATATTTCGGACAATAATGCAAATGTTTCTATTTCTAATGCCTAAACTGGCTTTATGCTGCTTTATAAGCTCAGTCATCAAGGAACATGTTTTACTTCTCACTTCAAAGCCTGATCTGTTCTGATTTACTAGGATTATTTTATTAGCTGCAGTTTTGTGATGTTGACATAACGTTTTACCATTCATCAGTACAGAAACGGGTGCGATCTTGACACGTTAAACTTCTGAATCATAGCCATAAACTACCATTCTGCACAAATTAACACTTTTTAAATGTTTTCAATAAGCTGGAAAAAGGAACACGCATGAATATCAGCCGGTGTTGGACTCACAGGCACCACCAGCAGCGGAGGCTTCGGTTTCAACTCCGGCGGCTCAGAGCCAAAGTGCTTCAGCAGTTTCATTCTCTGCCTCAGATTCATGTTGATACCTAAATACGGTTCTCTCCTTTAAAAAAAGTGACCAAATCAAAAAGCTCCACCTGTGTGCAGGTCAGTGAACGACTCACACACAAAGATGACAAAAAGCAACAGGAAGAGGTCCCAGCTAGACTAATAACTCAAATCCAAGAATAAATGAAAAAATGGCACACTTCATCATTCCTAACGCATGCTGCGAGTCATCGGCAAGTCCTTCTGCTAAAGGTTCAAAAAGTCAAACAGGTCCCGCTCCGTGGTGTCAGTAGTAAGTGCACGTCTTGGTCAACTTTCCAATAAGACAGCAGCAGGTCCCAGGCTGCTGGCAGAGTTTCAGCCTGCTGGGTGCCATGGTTACAGCCGAGGAATGAGAGCACTGGTGTGTTAATAATTGACGGGTTGTTTGCTACAATATAGACCCTCTGGCCCGGAGTTAAGTTTCCTAGGTTCCTACAGCGGCTCTGCTGTGCCTCGGCATCAGGAAACGGTGCCGTGGCAACTAGAAGTCTGACCTTATCTCCGTTTTGTGGTCGACGATTATCCACGCCCTGAAGCACGGGAGTGCTGCAGAGCTTCCTGCTCATCAGGGCCCTGTCCCTTTAAAACCACAGCACCCTGACCTGGCTGCACCTGACTTGTTTAGGAGGGGGAGGAAATGAGCGTGCAGAAAACTGGATTTCATTCATTATGTGAATAGAAACATGGTCGTTGCAGGATCCAGACCAGAGTTTATCCAGGTGCAACAGCTGGCCTCGGGGTGGCCACATCATTAGGGATCTATTATTCATCAGTGTAACGACAGAGCCCCAACCCCAGCAGCTACTCTGGTAACTTAAAACAAACACGTTCTTAACAAAAGGTGGATCCTCTCCTGTTGAGTTACTCTCGCTTTGAGCTGGGAGGTCACTCTCACTGGACGTCTCACATGCAAACTACCGGTACTCAAAACCATCGCTGGAGACGCTGCTTCACAGCAAATTCCAACAGGAAACGGCTTACCGTTTAAAAATCTTCCATCGTTCCAGGTGACAGGGATTGTAAAGCGATTGAGGAGGCTCAAAGCCGAGACTGGCTGTGGTTAAAGTCCCACAGGTGTGTGGTGAATTTTGTTCTCCGCCTTTCACCCATCCCCATGGGGGAGCGGTCAGCTGCAGACATGGCTGCACTTGGGAACCATTTGGTGATTTCACCCCCAACTCCAACCCCTTAATGCAGAGTGTCAAGCGGGGAGGCATTGGGTACCATTGTTAAAATCTTTGGTATGACCCGACCATACATACCACTACACCACTGAGCTAGTAACGTGTTAATGAGGAGTCACAAGGTTTCTCTTTACACCACAAACACTCCAGTGGTTTCCGCAGAGTAGCTGTATTTACACAGACCAGGGTCTCGTAGCTTCCTCTCGTGAGACTTTCCTCCAGGAATGCCGTCAGCAGAGCAAACATACACTTTACAGACACCTGCAGAACAGTTACAGGGACACCTGCTCAGAGCATTCAACCGACAGGTGAGCATGAAGAAAATTCATTCTGTTTGTTGTCTAAGATAAAAATGCTTCGGGAGTGGTAAATTCGGCTGAAAACCAACCAACATCCAGCCAACATTGGATGACTCAGCAGTAGCTGCTTTAAAAGGCTCTCTGAGGCCAGACTAAAGAGGCCTTCTTCTACAGGTAACTGAAATCAGGGAGGACAAGAAAGTAATTAGATTTAAACCTACAACAGTTTTTCTTACAGTGACCACCGACAGACTGCTGACATCTGACCAGTTCAATCAAGAGCAAACAAGCGCCCCCTAGTGCAACGGTGTGCAAACTACGGTGAGAAGACCCATTCTTTCCACCTCTCTCTAAATAAGGGCAAGAAAAATAACATTTTTTTCAGCTATGCTGAGCCAATCGGAGTAAATGTAACAAAATAAGTTCCCAGATGTATAGAGAGATGTATAAAATAGTACATCTAATACATGAGGTTGTTGGTTTTTTGAGTTAAAAGGTCTTCTAAAAGGTTGACATTTCTTTCCTAAAGTACAGTTTTATCAGTTAGGTCTCGTTTGCATTTGCCTCTTTATCCTAAGAATAACTTGCTCTATGATACAGAAATACATCAATGTGATACCTTAAAATCTAGTGATTTTTTAAGATATGCTTCCTGCTTTTAAAACAATTTGCCTCAGTGTGTTGACGAACACATGGATTTGAACAGGAGTTGTACAGTACAAGCTCAGAGACGATCAGTACAGATTATTTATAAAAAAACATTTTATTGTTGGTCTAATTAATTTATAGACGGATAGAGATGTGGCCCATCGGCCATTTACGCCGCTCTGGTGAGCTTTGTGTGGCCCTTGATGGCAGTTGCCCACCAGCACAGACTGTTGATTAGAGTTAGACTGATATTGGGTTTTTCATTGCGATATCGATATGTACTGCCGATTTTTATGGCTGGACATTTTCTACCTTAAATTTCTGGAGCTGAATCGGTTCATGAACTCTGATTTTAACTAACTCAATTCACTTCAAAAATACTTTATTAATCCCAGAGGGAAATTGATTGCTGTATAGCTCAGAATAATAATAATAATCAAGTCATCAAAGAGTTACTGTATATTATAATGGCTGTTGGCAGGAAGGATCTCCAGTAGTCAAATCTGAACTGTGCACTGCTTAGAGTTAAAACCAGAGATCTATATAAAGTAAATTTGGAGTATTTATTATGCAAATGTTATTAGTGAACGGAAAAAAAAGCATTTAAAATAAACTCTGCAACAGCAATGGGCTGACCGAGGATGTACCTGACTTTAGATCAGCTTTAAGGATGAATATCGGCCAATGGATAAAAAGCTGTAAATATCGGCCCGATGTATCGAATAACTGAAATATCGGTCTACCCCTACTGTTGATGCAAGATAAACCGACTTAAAAGTGGTATGTTAGTACATAAAATCTTTTTATAAATAGAGACTATACGGTCACATATTCTATAATATAAATAATTTTCATTAAAATTATTTATCGTTTTTAATTGAATTCCCTACTAAATACCACAGACACTGACTTTTACTAAGTTAGAAACTTGTGCAGAGCCGTTCAAAAACGTGATCAACAGCCAGCGACACTGACGAATGACCCACATCCTGATCTGGATGCTGATAATGGACTTCATTTTATTTTCAAGATGAAAAATCTAGAAAAAAACCAACAAATCAAACTCAGGGAACGAGATGTTTACCTTTTATACGAATCTCTTCTTAGGTCTTGCACACAAACTTTAACAGATCATTTTGTAAAAAAATAAACAAACATATTTCTGCATTTTTGAAATCTACTTTTTGTGGCCTGAGTTTATCAACTTGCTCATCTCGGCATCTCAAAGTTTGACACGGGATCAGCGGCTGCTGGTGTCATCGATGGGATGGAGTTTTGTTCCATGAGAAGCGTCTAACTATAGAAAATAAACTAAAATAAATGTTAAATGAAATGTTTTTGTTTTCGCTCATTCAGAGCTGCTGCTTCACGTCACAAATCCACTTTGGATATTCATTTTGAATCCATAAATGTATCATTTTGCCTCTCTCCCTCCCCAAGCTGTGATCCAGCTCAGCCTTTGTTCTTCTAACACCTTCTAACCTCTCAGAGAACTTCCCCCTGAAGCTCCAGACTGGAATCCCCTCCACACACACCGCCAGATCGAGATTAGGGCCAGCTGGAGAGACAACTCTTTGGGAATGTGACCGAAACTGTTGTGAAACCCTGCAGCAGGCAGGTAGAAACCTGAGTGTGGCAGAACCAGTAAGGTGAGAGCAAAGAGGCAAAGTTGGGTTAGCAGCTGTCAGTCAGACACAGCTAAACTAACTCCACAGACCGCTTAACCCACCCAGGGAAAACCATAAAGGGTCAAATAACACAAAGATCATCATCACAAAAGTAGGAAAACTAAAAATAGTATTTTTAAATAATGATAGTTCAGTTTAGCCTCACTAGGCGGAAAGTTCAGAATAACTCCCTGACTTGGGGCGCCGGCGGAGTCTTTTAGCGTCTCCTTCACACGCAGGTGGAGCGGAACCTGGCACGAGTGACGCTAGCACACCTGGCTGTGGCGCTGGCTTTACGCTTACCGTTCAGTCGAGTTTAACAATCCCCCAGAAGTCTCCCACGTAGCTCTGCTAGCTCCTTAAGACTGTTTCCTTTTCTTGAAAGTTTCTCTGAAAAACTCAGGTGAGGAGGAGGCGTGGTCTGAACGCCCAACGTTTCGTGACGTAATGACGCAAATGATGCTGCGCATAAAGAAGTCTTTCACTTTTGCCTACTGAAGCAAAGCTATTTGTCATCAAACAAACAAACAAACAAACAAACAAACAAACAAACAGAAATCAAAAACCTGGAAACTTTGCCGACTTTTCTACACTAAACAACGTTAAACGACCAAACTATTCCTCAGAAAACCGACATCAATCTGGAAATGTATTGTTAAAAACAACTGGACCAAATCTCATTTTTCTTTGTAACTAAATTAATATTATAACAACAAATAGTAAAATAAGATGATTTTGACATTATTTATTTATTTTAATCATAAATATTTTTATTCCAAATTGAATTTTGTCGATCAGGCTCCAGCTTTGATTCCCTCTGTTATGTTTGTTAGACAGATCTTTTTTTTTCTCGCTATAAAGAAGGAGAAGGATATTTCACACAAGCTCTGTTTTAGAACAGCTATAACTTCCTGGAACAAGATCCGACCCACAGTTATAACCACACAGCAGAACCATCATCAAACAGTTTAAAATGATAAATAATAAATGACCTGCACTTATAACACTTTCTGAGTCTGAGCACTCTACGAAGTTACAGTACAGTGAATCGTTCATCCAGTCACACACATTCACACACAGGTGGTGATGAGCTACAGTGCAGCCACAGCTGCCCCGGGGCACACTGTCATGATCCCTGTGCTCAGATGTGTCCCTGTCCCCTTAGATTTATTCATTCAGCCTTTTTATTCATCCCCATAGTTACTCCTAGCCACTCCTCTGCCCCAGTCATTCATAATGTTTCCCTTTTCATATGTTTCTTATTTGGTTCATGTTTTCTCTACAAGTCGTTCATGGTTTAGTTTATTCTCCGAGCCTTTTTAGTTCAGTTGTAGTTATGTTTACTCTTTAACTTAGCCCAGTCAGTGTCATGTTTTACTTTTCTAGTGTGTTTTATCTGGGTTTTTGCATTACCTCCCATCCCTCAGGTAACTAGTCACACCTGTAGGCCATCATCAGCAGCAATTATCACACCTGTTTGTCATTGTTTTCACTCCATGTTTATACAAACCCAGCTCAGTCCTCCTGTCCCTATCAGTTCCGTGTGATTTCACCCTCATGTTTTGTTTATTTCTGCTCCCGACCACAGCCCCAAAGTGACACCTTTGGTTTCTGAACCTACCTGGCACTTCCTGGGTTTTCCTGTATTTTAGGTCCTGCCGCTATGTAGCAATTTCTGACAGTTTCAATGAAGTCAAACATGTTTTAGTAGCCGAGGAGGAGTACGACCAAACAGTTTAACCCTCCCACTGTCCTAATGGGTGTGACCCCGCGAGGGAAGTTGACCATTGAGCAGGGTTGATGGTTTATCCCTTGAGGTCCATGTGGCAGGAGTGAGCACCACCTCACCCCTGCCACGTGGACCTCAAGGGATAAACCATCAACCCTGCTCAATGGTCAACTTCCCTCGCGGGGTCACACCCATTAGGACAGTGGGAGGGTTAAAAATGATGCCACTCACTGATGAAATAAAAATCACCTTACAGAATAAGTATTTTATTGCTACATTAGTGAAGTGTTTTGAAATAGTTTCATATCCATACATCCATCCTATTCCACTTATTTAGAGACAGGTTGAGGGGGGCAGCAGCCTAATCAGAGGCCCAGACTTCCCTCTCCCCGGCCACTTGGGCCAGCTCCTCCAGGAGAGCTCCAGGTGTTCTCCCATGACCATGTCCCTCCAGCGTGTCCTGGGTCTTCCTTTAGGTCTCCTCCCGGTTAGACGTGCCTGGAAAACCTCACCAGACGCCCGAGCCACATCGACTGGCTAGTTTTGTAAATTTCATTTAATATAATTTTACAGTATTTTTATATAGTATATGTTTCTTTGTGTCTTCTTAGCATTTTAAATAGAGATTTACCAGTAGTTTATTTTAGGCTGTTTATTCCTTTTATCTTTTAATAATTTGTCCTGCACAAGGGTTTAAAGACGTAGATAAGAGTACAGTAGACTGCTCTTAGGCGTTCATCTTGCTGATACTTCCCCATGAGGGATAAGTGGTTCGATTATAAAGAGAAAGAATAAAGTGTTGACCACAGAGAACAGGGCGACGGTGGCACAGGAGTTAAGTGCTCGCCCCGTAATAGGAAGGTTGCAGGTTCGAGCCCCGCTCAGTCTGTCGCTGCCGTTGTGTCCTTGTGCAAGACACTTAACCCACGTTGCCTGCTGGTGGTGGTCGGAGGGACCGGTGGCGCCAGTGCTCGGCAGCCTCGCCTCTGTCAGTGCGCCCCAGGGCAGCTGTGGCTACATCGTAGCTCATCACCATCAGGGTGTGAATGTCTGATTGTGTTGTAAAGCGCCTTGGGGGGTTCCAGGACTCTAGAAGGCGCTATATCAAATACAGGCCATTATATGTACAAAAACCAAAAAAAAAGACCCTCAACTTTTTGGGTTACTCCCCCGTTTAAATGATTTGCTTTTCAATTTTCTTTAAAAAATAAAACCTTAATCGAACAACAGGAGACAACTGTGGTGAAGAAATGACACTCGGGCTTCAGCAATCTTCAAGTTTTTATTTGTTTACAAAGTTAAGATTGCAATTCCTTATATTCCTTCCTTAAATGAGTAGAAAACCTTTTTTTAAAAGAATTAGTCAAAAGGCACAATTTTACAATATATACATTTAGATCTAAATTATAAATATATATAGAAAACAAAAGCAAAACCCAGAATAAAAGTGCTGAACACAGTTTTTCTTTTTTGTTTTTTTTTTTACAGAAAAAATAGGCTTTGTTTAAAAATACATACAATCAGTAGCATGTTTTTTGTCTCATTTTCTGTTAACAATAAATTATTTGAGAGTGATAACATTTATATAATATGCAAATGGCAGAGAAACAAGGTTACAGTTTACAGAGAGTGATCCATAAGGAACAGGAACAAGCTCGCACTGCTCAATCCTAACCAACACGAACAGTAACTGGATTACGCCGTTCTTAGTGCAAAATGATAGAATCAAGACCTAACTAAGCAAATAATGGACACGTTCAAATAAAAAAGGCTGTTTTCCTAAAAATGCTGTTCATGTCCCTCGAACACATAAAGCTTTAATGTTGTGACAAAAAAAAAAAAGAAAACCTTTGTAGACTTGTGTCTGGGAATGTGGCTTTTAAGGAATATGGGAAAGAGACGAGCAGCCGTGAGATTCTGCAAACGATTCCGACTGAGAGTCAGTTCAATCCCATAATGAAGGAGAGGATGAAGGTCAGGACGTATCAGTTGCATATAACAATACAAAACAGGTGTGGATCAACTCAAAAACCTGCCAGCGCTTCCGTGGATTAAATGCTTCAACAGCTGCAAGACAAATAAAACATAAAACTGTCCACAGAATAATAATAATAACAACACAGCCTTTGATCTTTGCCCTAAGATGGCATAAACACTTAGATTCACTGACATTTTCACAAGGACGAACAACAAACCCATCACATTAAGTCTAAAATATAAATACAGCAAGAATCACAGCACAGAAACAAAACAAAATACGACATGAATTAGTTTCATCACTGCTATTAGGGGTTTTTATTTAAATTTGTGGGGTTCTTCCTGAGCATGATAAAAAGGTCTCATATCTTCGAGCCAGTTTCTTTAGGGGTGTCTGAGGATAACTTTGGTATTTCTGCAAACTGGCGGCCTGACAAAACGTTGGAGCAACTAGAAAAAAACAAAAGCTAAACCGAAGAGAGCAGAATAAATCCAGACGCCGTACATCCGTACAGAACAGTGCAATCTTATTTGGTGGCAGGTTATAATAGAATCTGTTTTATAGCAATCTTTAACATAAGTTCCCTGACCAAAGGTTTTATGAACTATAACGAGAGATAACATATCTAAAATCTAAATATCCCTTAAATATAAATAACATTATTTTTCCATCACAATAAATGACGAAAACATCGAGAACGCATTGCGTCCATTCGGTCAAAATGTACTTTACAAACACACACACACCTCAGAACGACGCAGGGCAGAAATAAGAGGATTCATACCGTGCAGAGATAACCACAAAGCTTTGCCTGTTGAGCGTAAACAAGAGGATTTCTTTTTGTTTCGTTTTAAAACTACTCCATTAGATGGTTTTATTGCTTTTGGGTTAGTGGGACCGCCGGCATTTCGCCGCAAGCCAACGACAGAGCATCGATGCGACTCGAAGAGAGGAGCAGAGCCGAAGTATCAACTTAAACCACAGCGCCTCTCGGGTGGTTTAGATCTGCTGAACTCGACTGGAACCCTGCATGATTGAAGACACTGACTCATTTTTTTAGTAAAACAAAACAAAGAAACCCCCACAGAACTTACTTTCATACCTAACCATAACCAGAACTCATTTTGATCACCATGACGACCATAAAATGACACAAATGCACAGGAACAAAGACGGGAGATATTCTCCAGGGACTCCAGACCAACAGAGATAAAAAATGGGGTTTGGGGAATGGGGGGTGGGTATCCATGCTGCTCTACTGTGTGATGTACCACTATTTAACAAATACTGGGCTAAAGAGAACAAAGGCAAACCTGCAGGATTCAGGAGGACACACAGAGGATGCTCTGTGAGCGTAGTGTTATGTGTTTCACAGAGACGTGGCAACATGAAAATACTCTGAATCCCACCTTTGGACTGGATTACATCACTCACCCGATTACCTCAATGCTCTCAAATATTCCAACATTTCCTCGCTGATCTTCTGTAATCTCAACCAACAGGATTAATACGTTTGTTTATTCTCCCGATCCTGCGAGCAGCTACGCCAGCATTATCAGACAAGAGGAGGTGTCACCAGCATCGTGTAACATAAACCACCGACTCACCGGGGGGCCTAGAGGTTAAATACAAATCTACCGTATTAAATTAAAAAATAAAACTCACGAGTACAAATCTTTACATTAGGCTACACGGACTTTAAAGACTGCATTTCTAGGTTTTCTCTGAAGGCACTGTTTGCAACAGCAGACTGGTCTTCCTCTCCATTTTTCCTCACACTAGTGTTCATATAAGCAGGGGAGAACAGAGGGAACGTGTCGAGGAAAACGGAGGCATTTTATGGCTAATCAGCTAAAAGATTTTCTCCTTTTCTTCCCCAGGTAAACTACCGTTTTTCCCCACTAAATCCAAACCTTGCATACCTTTTTATTTTCCTTTTTTAAAAAGTTGAGCCGAGACAAACACCCATGAAAAGTGAAGTAACAGTAAAGCAAAGTCTTAACTGGTGAAAGGCATTTGGAGCTTCCAGCAATCCTACCTCGTACAAATCAGCAGCAGGAAGTTTAAAAGACAAAAAAAAAAAAAAAAAAAAAAAAAAATCATGTTTTTTTTTTTTACTTCCACTTCTTTTTTCAAACTTATTTAACAGCTGCCTTTTGCTGTGGAGGGCACACTTTGGTGCAGAAATCAGATCTTAAATGAGTCTGCTTTCACCTGAACAGCCACAAGTCAGTGAGGGTGGACAGAGGGAGGGGGTGAGCCCAGCACAGAACAGGCAGTGACTCGACTAAAGGTTGGTTTATGCTTGACGCGTCCGCGAGGTCCGCAAGGCTCCGCGCGGCAAAATTGCGTCATTTTAACAACCACGCCCCTCCACCGCGCCTCCGCACGGCCCAAAATTTCCGCAACGCGCACCTAGGACATTTTCTAACCACGTGGACGGTCGGACACGGAAAAACATGGTGGAGCGGCAAGAACTAGTATGGTAGAGGTTCGTAAATACAGACATTTGTATGATTCAGCTCTCAGAGATCGCCGTGATCAACATGTTAATAATTCTTGGAGAGAAATAGCTCGCCCTGTCGGAAAAGACGAGGACGCTGTTAAAATTGCTAGAATGCCATGTTGTAAACAGTCATTTCTACTTCTATGGTGTAGTGTTGGATGCATGCCATAGAGCTCCATGCTGCCCCCTACAGTTTGGGAGAATATTGGCTCACCGCAGAGACGAGCCGCATGAACCATAAACGCTGTGAGTTGTGAAGCGCGTTCCATCCGCGAGCCGCATCACCGCGCAGAAAGTGAATGCGTCGAGCATAAACCAAGCTTTAAGGCCGGGGGGGGTGGGGGGTGGGGGTAGGTCCGAGGAGACTGCAGAAAACAAAACGCACCGAACAAACTCCAGACCACGGGGTTCAGCTCTCAGTCTTGTTGGTGGTACTGAATGACAGACTTGCGGTCTTGTCCGGCCTGCAGCATGCTGTTCAGAGCTGCACGCACATCAAGAGCACCCGAGCCAAAGTGGCCGTTGGGCAACGAAACTGCATCTGACTGGGTGGGGAGATAAGTGGAGGGGTAGCAAGGGGGGGGAAACAAGGAGGATGAGGACGGGCTGGAGAAGAGAGAAACCATGTTGTTTGACAAAGAAGAGGTGGAGGAAGAGCCGGAGGAGGCCGAGGATGAAGGGCTGACTTTCTGCGTGGTGACCAGGGGAGACAGCGGCATGTCAAAGAGATCCAGTAGGTCCTGGTGGTGGTTACCGGTCAACATGCTGTGGTTCTGCGGCTGCTGAAGGGGGGCCTGTAGCTGCTGCTGCTGAGGCATTAGAGGCTGCTGTGTTTGTGCAGTGTGCTGGGCATCAGAGATGCTCCCGGAGATCAGATCATCCAGGTTAAAGTCTGACAGGCTGTCCAGGCCCGGCACACAGTCCGTGCTGTCTGGAGAGGGCGAAGGTGAACTCATAGTCAGGTCCAAGATCTCATCCAGTGGATTCTTGGAAGACAAGTTAAGAGACGGTGTGGTCTGATGGAGTGGGAGAGCGGGGCTCTTCTGTGGGAACGATTGTATGAAGGGCTGGAGAAACGAAGAGAAACTGGGGTTAAGTGTGTTGGGCAGAGCGACCTGAGAGGCGCTGAGGGAGGTGTTTGGCCAGCCGTTGTGGGTTTGGCTCGGGTTTCTATGGAAAGGCAACAGATGCAAACCGTGTTTCTGCAAAGCCGATTGCATTTCCGGTAGCTGGGAAAGGTTCTGTGTCCTCTGCAGCGCGTTTTGGGTGATGCTCTGTTTGAAGAGTTGGCTCGGAGTCTGAAGGGACTGGTTCAGCACAGGGTTCTGACTGATCAGACTTTGCATCAGTTTGCTCTCCTGCTCCTGCAGCTTTTGCATGCGCTCCTTCTCCTTTCGCCGCTTCTTCACCTCCTCGTCCATTTGGAGCAGCACGTTGCGCACCTGAGCCACGCAGTTCTCTGGGATCTTGATGCCTGGCGGGAGACGGGAGGGAGAGAGGTGACTCCTCAAAACTCGATCCCACATTTCTCCAGTCAGCAACCTCCTAACGTTGCTCTGCTCACAAGTCCTGATCTAACACGTTCAGCAACCCGGTGGAGATAAATGACAGATTTACAGCACAGGCTCAATTATCCATAATCATGACTCAGCATCATATTTAAAATTCAAAACGACTCACTGACAGCTAATAAATAAAAAATTTTAATTACAAAATCTGGGCTTGAGATTCACAAATGTTCTAAAACCCTAAATGAGGCAGCAGGGTGTACTGACCGACTTGCTTGTTGCGCTGTTTAGTTTTGAGGCGGACAATCTGCAGGATGCTGGAGCTGGTGATTTCTGACACCACGTCAGACACCCGCTTCCACACCCGTAGCAAAGCTCCACACAGCATGTGGTACTGGCGGAGGCGCATCCCCTGCAGACACTCTTGGCCCTCTTCGATTTTCTTACACTTCCCGTTCCTGCGGAAAACACAAAGAGATTCCTTATTTTCTGTAGCTGAAGCAATTTCTGCAACACTTTATGACAGGAGGGTTCAGAGACAGCTGTCCTTTTGTTACTATGATGACATCATAGTGGCACACTTATAGGTGACGTCTCTCCGACTAGGTGATTTCTAAAGCTGTTGAAGTGTACACAAGGAATGCTGGTAAGCACAAGCCTGAGCCTGTAATCCTCAGGGATGTAGTGGATTTCTGCTCACCAGTTGGCGTGACTACAATTCTTTAGGGAGAAGGTGAACTGGTTCTCCCAGCTGTCCTTCGCTTCCTCAGGAGTGACCTGAAATAACACAATAATCAGCTGAAAGCTTCTTATGAACAACAGTTGGTTAAAAAAAAAACGACATCAAGATGTTTAATTGTCCACAAGGGGGCAGCAGACACCGTGATGTCAACGTGAACTCGGGCCTCGGACAGCCCATGTCTCAGGTAAAAGTAAAAGCTCCAGGCAGACATCTTTGCTCCCACCTTGTGGTACCGCTGCAGCAGGTTGTTGAGGCTCTCTGGCTGTGTCTGCTTTCCAATGTTGGGCTTGTAGACGAGGAAGTTCTTACCTCGGCCCTGCTCGGCCAGCAGGACACACGGACTGTTACCTCGCAACTGTAGAGAGGACACACAGAGAGCGTCAGCGTTTCAAAGTATAATATCAACCACGTCCATGCAGTCTTGTTTTTTTGGGGGGAGAGACACCCACCTTATAGGAGAGGTAGAAGCCCTCATCAGGGGCACTGAGCTTCAGGAACTTGGCGTGTGCCTCTTCCCAGGGCATGCCTCGGTCCACGCTGATCTGCAGGGCAAAAAAGATCAAAGACTGAAGCGCGATCCCACTGAATGGTGGTGAATGTTTTCACCTAAATCTAAAACCAGACGAAGAACAGATCCTGCCTTTTACTTTTTTGTGTCCGTGATTAATTTCACCAGCATGTTACTGTTTAACATCAACTTTAATCACAACACACTGATTTCTGGGTCACATGTTAGGGATGTGGATCATGATATAACAAGTCATGCTCTCTTTTCTGGTGACTGCTTTCATAACACTTAACGGACACGCAGAAAAGCACATGGGGACGCCGCGTGTCACCGCACCCTGGGTTTAACGCTGATCAAGGCTCTGATTGGTTCAAAGAAATCCAAACACCTGCTAATTCATAATTTTCTCAATTCCTGGGACATTTACCTACGTTTGAGTTAATAAAAGCACATTAATGCACACTCTGACTCCCTGAAGGAGTCCTTCTGTGCACAGTTCGGTTTTACTGCCATCTCTGAAATGTCAAGTGGAGGTTAGCCTGCAGCTGGCAGCTAAAAGCTGAATATACCAGTAATTATCCTGTTGCCACCTCCGACTAAGCGTCACAGCTCTGAGATAAGCCCTAATAAACGCAGTGACATCAATCAAAACGCACTGGAGGCGTAACTACTCGAGTTTCCCTCCACCAGGTAATCCACACTGATTTGTTGCTTCAGAAACATGAAGGTGGGGGAGATGCACCTGTGGATTCTCACAGGTTCTGCTGGATTTAAAGCTAAACGTTTCTGACCTAACGGAGAACACTGATATTAGAGAACCATGTTAAGCCTCTCAGGCTCAAAATAAGTTTTGATAAAAGGACGAACAACTAAGTCCTTCAGGGGTACTTCTGAGTTAAACAATGCTCATGAAACACGTGCGTGGAGTAACCAGGTAGGTAGGTTTTAACGCTGTAAATCTGCAACGCCTGCCTCCAGAGGGTTAATGCTGGTCTGCACTAGCACAGCTGATGAGTCACACTAGAAAGAAGGCGGAGAGGCTCCTACCTTATAAAGAACAACCTGCCCATCTTGAGGATTTCCAGCCGTCAAGAAATTTTCCTGCTTTTCCTCATAAATCTCATCGTTTCCGGGAGCAAGATCTGTCGGAGAACAACAGACGATCTTCAGGAATCAACACGGGCCGACAGACACTGCTACTACAAAAGACCTGCTGTTTAGAATGACAACGTCGGACGATTTCTGAGGTGATCTGGATCATAAAAAACTCTGTAAACATGAATGTGATAAAAACAGCGTACCTAAGATTCCCATGTCATATTTGCCCTCCTTCTTGTCCTTCTCAATCAGGTAGTCAAAGTTGTCTGTGAAGTACTGGAAGAGATGGTTCTGCTTGTGGACCTCCAGGCCCAGGATGCGGTTCAGGAACTTGGTGATGCTGCAGTCTGAGATGAAGCAGCACAAACTTAAATGCTGAAAACTCAACGCAGCTGAGATGCACGTGTGATAAAACACAACTCCTGGTACCTTTCTCCGTGCTGATCCCAAAGCGAGGCTCCTTACAGATGATGCCTACGTGCATCATTCCTATTTTCATCTCTAGAATCAAACATACAGAGAGGTGTGTGCTGATTAAGAAGAGGAAGGCGAGAGAGGTGTTTGAAGTTTAACTAAGGATGACCAAAGCTGGATGATACCTTGGAAGAACCTGGCGTTGCCCCCAGGGTATCCTTTGGGAGGGGGAACCTTGTTCTCTATGTGGCCGAGAATCGATTTGGTAACCTTATCTAGAGCCTTGGTTCCATACTGGAAAAAATAAATAAAGATAGTAAAAATGGATTCTAATTAAGATTTAGGACTCAATGTGCTTGTCAAAGCTTCCTGAATGATCTCACCTTGTTCTCAAAATTATATTTGCTCAGGTCTCTTGATTCAGTGGCTCTTCTGTCTCCGTGGGTCAGCGCACCCTGCACAGTGGATCAGCATCAGGATTATTAGCGATTTTATTAACTTTACAGCGTTTCACAGCATCATCACAGATATGATTTGCTGCTGGCTTCAAACCTCCAATCCCCACCTGAACACAAAATATAACTAGTGAATGAAAAGCTCTAAACATGAAAACGAGGACATGACTCGTGAGAATTTGCTGTGAGAGAAAAGTCCGCCAGACCATGAGATCCAAGAGTGAACCTCGATGCAATAACTGAAAGAATTTTTACCTTGTGCCAAACCCACTTCAACAACAGGAACCAGCAGCTGGATCCACACCCAGAGAAACAGGTACAAAAACAAGGGCTCTCCTGACCAAAACAGATCTCCTTGCTGATCTGGAGTCAGCTGGCTGCAAAGGGTTGCCCCACTGTTTTTATCAGCTTTAAGTCAGGCAGGCGGATGAGACGAGGCCTATTCCCAACACACATTTTCACCACACGCGGTTGGCAAAGGCAGGAATGACTTCCTGGAACCATCCCCATCCCCCCCTCCCCTCACGCCCTCCTCACCCTTTCCCCCAAAACTCCCATCATGCTGTGTCACTATGGAAATAGATGACTGCTGGTGCAGAAATGCATCGATAATGACGGAAAATAGCTGCAGTCTTATAAATCATTCAGACAGGCTCTTTTTGCTTTGCTCGTTCAGTTTTCTGTTATTCAGATTTGTGTGTGTGAGCGCGCGCGTGTGTGTGTGTGTGTGAGAGAGAGAGTGCTAAGGTTTAAGGAGAAACTTTGGGAATGTGAAAACAAACTCTGAAAAAAACTGAATGCTGAAGAGTAACAGGAAGGAGAGTGGATAGTAACGTCCCTAGCATCCCAGAAAGTTTACGTTTGCAGTATAAAACCATCTGAGGCTGCATTATGTAAATAAAAGTCTAACTCTCCCTAGAATCATGATTTAGTCTATCAAAAGGAATAAAGAGGTTCATGTTAGGCTGCTGTGTTTACCAGACTCTCCAGTCTTTTGGCCACAATGGAGGCAAAACGTCTCTCTCCAGCCAACTCCGAGATGAGGAAGATGTACTCCGGAGCATTGACTTGATTGGACCGATGGGTGCGACCTGAGAGGACAACAGAGGGCTCCATTAGACAATAATGTGTCAAATTAAGTCAACTTTAAAGGGCCATTTTGGCCATTTTGAAGTGTTTTGATAAAACAGGTAATGGCTTATAAAATACTGCTGCATGAACAGCTGTGAAATGTTGGCAGCTGGAGTTGCGGCAGCACATGTAAAACCAGTTAAACAGCTATTTCTCCAAACAGAGGCTGTTCAAGGCCTCTTGTTCTACAGTCATACACTTACTGGCCACTTTATTGGGTACACCTGTCCAACTGCTCATTAACACAAATTACTAATCAGCCAATCACATGGTGGCAACTCAATGCATGTTGACATGGTGAAGACGATCCACTTCAACTCAAACTGAGCTTCAGAAAGAGGAAGAAAGGTGATTTTAGTGACTTTGAACGCAGCATGGTTGTTGGTGCCTGACGGGCTGGTCTGAGTAATGGCCTGACTGGTTTGAGCTGATAGAAAGGCACCAGTAACTCAAATAACCACTCGTTAAGACCGGGGTATGCAGAAGAGCATCTCTGAACGCACAACACGTTGAACCTTGAGTCAGATGGGCTACAGTAGCAGAAGACCACACTATCAGCTCAGAACAAAAACCTGAGCTTACAACTCACACAGGCTCACCAAAGCTGGACAATAGCAGATTGGAAAATTGTTTCCTGGTCTGAGGAGTCTATTTCTGCTGCAACAGTCAGATGGTCGGGTCAGAATTTGGCGTCATAAACATGAAAGCATGGATCCATCCTGCCTTGTATCAACGGTTCAGGCTGGTGGTGGTGGTGTAATGGTGTGGGGGCATTTTCTTGGCACACTTTGGGCCCCTTAGTACTAAAGGGCCATTCCCATCTGTACCGGGTCGGCCCGGGCCGGGTAGCGTAGGTTGTTTACATATCTGGGTGGCCTGGTATTTTTCCGGGCCAACCAAGGCTCATTCTCAGCCCTCTTCTCGAGGGGGTCTGCTTCAGGCCGACCAGGACCAACACACCCACTGCTGACAGCAAATTCACACCTTCCATGAGAGCAAGCCTCTGATTGGTGGGTAGAATCAGCCCACATGGGCTTAAGACAAGGATGTGTGGAATCAACCGGGCCAGGCTGGGGCCGACTGGGGCTACCCGGCCCGGGCCGACCCGGTACAGATGGGAATGGCCCATAAGTGATCATCGCTGCAACACCACAGCCTACCTGAGTATTGTAGCGGACCATGTCCATCCCTTTAAGACCACCGGGTACCCATCTTCTGATGGCTACTTCCAGCAGGATAATGCACCATGTCATAAAGCTCCAATCATCTCAGACTGGTTTCTTGAACATGATAATGAGTTCACTGTACTCAGATGGCCTCCACAGACTCCAGATCTCAATCCACTAAAGCACCTTTGGGACATGGTGGAACGGGAGATTCGCATCATGAATGTGCAGCCGACAAATCTGCAGCAACTGTGTGATGCTGTCATGTCAATCTGGACCAAAACCTCTGAGGATCCACAAAGGATTAGGGCAGTTCTGAAGGCAAAAGGGGGTCCAACCTGGTACTAACAAGGTGTACTCAATAAAGTGGCCAGTGAGAGTGTACATACATAGTTTCCACACACTGTGTGGTTATGTGCCATAACCCTGAAAGAGATGCAACAAATCAGTGAAAAAAACAAACAAACAACAAAGAAATGACAAAAGAAAAAAGAAAAAGATGTGCTCAGATCTGCTGTTTACTGGCAGCAAAGAGTTGGATATAAATTTGATGTTTTACTATTTCCTGAGTAAAATGGGGATTTTCTTAACAACATAATCTGCTTTGTAACAACTTTAAAAGGTAATTCTCTAGCTTGTTGCGTTGAACAACAACAACATACACTTAAAAAATCCCACAGAATTGCCCTGAAAGTTTAACTTCTGCAGAAAAGCTTCATGAGAAAATAACCAACCTCGTTTTCCAAATGTGTGTTTTTGTGTACATAAACTTCAGAACATCAAACAAAAGACCGGATCGAGTTAACTGAATCAAATGTGTGACACCTTTTAGACAGAGGAGGAAGGAACAGAGGTCATTAGAGCAAATAAATTTGAACCCAACCTTTTTTCATACATAGGGAATAGAGATCAAAGACGTTTTAGCCGACCGTGGCTCTGCCACAGGCAGAAGTTTGTAAAGAGCTGAGGGAACGGAGCGACCAACAGAAACTGGATCGCGTCTGTTAGACCGTTACATCATACATCCAGTTCATGGGTCATTGATGTAAAGTTACACTTGGGAGGAAAACTGATTCAGACAAAGTGAGGTCAGCTTGATATTGTTCTGAGAGACAAGGGTCCACTGCAAAACCAACACACCATCACAGCTAATTTGAACTAAATGCACTCGGAAAGGCCTGAGATTTCCTCTGCCAAGTTCCCAGTTTCATGTTTATATAAGCAGAAGTCTGTTCTCCACCTCTGACAGGCTCACTGTAAGGTAACGTTTCCTGACGTACCAAACTGCTGGATGGCCCGGTCCGCGCTCCACGGCAGCTCCAGGGTCATATGGACCCTTCGCTTCTGGTTCTTCACTCGTCTGTCTGCCTGCAGGGAAATCCCAGAGCTGGCTGCCTCTGAGATGATGGCCACCGACTGTAGAAAAACATGGAATGTCATTAAGTTTCAGCAATAAAAAAACCCGCTAGAAACAATCAAACAGTTTTCTGGGAAATGGACATTCAGCTTTGCTGAAGCAGACCTTCTCTCCGGTCATGAAGCGGTCCTTCTCCTTGAGGTTAATCTGATCGATTGTGGACCCTTGTTCGGCCCGCGACTCATAACGAACGCTGCCGTCTGGACGTCGAACCACACGACCCTTCCGACCAGTCATCTGTGAAAAACCAAAACACACCATCACTACAGACGCACGTTTGGAAAATACCATGAAAGTCTAATAATCTTTATGCTCCAACCAGAAAAATGAGCTAGCGGATCTAAATTCTTACCTCAGCGACTTTATCTGGTCCTCCAAACTTATCGATGAGCACATCTAATGTATTGAGAGGTAGTTCTTTCCCCAGCACAGATATTTTGTTGAGGAGACCCTGCTTCATCTCTTCTATTCTGGCTGTAAATTCAAACCGGAGCACACGATTAAGTTACAACTGCACACGAGGCTTTAGTGCAAAGACTCTGAGGGTTGAACACCCACCTGACTGGAGGCTAGTGTGGTGTACAAAGATGACGTCATCGTTGTCTTGCAGGGAGTCTGGTGAGGAGTTGGAGTCTGTGTCCATGCCGTCCGAGTCGCTGCTGCTGTCGTCGGAGATGTTGATCACACCGCCGCTGTCCACTGTGTGCTTGGGTATCTTGGGCTGCCGGCCTTTAGGCTTCCCTGATCGGTCCACATGAAACGCAGTTTCAGTTAGAAACCAAACACAGTTTTTTTTTAAATAAAAGTAAATACTTTATTGGTTAAGTGAGAGTCAGAATGGGCCCTGTGCTACTCACGTTTTCTCTTATTCCCTGGTGCTTTTTCTCTCCTTTGCTTTTCTGAAGGAAAATGCTTTGTTACAAGAGACTGGAACACTCCCCTAGAGCAAAAGGGAGGAGAGAGAAAAAAAAAAGGAAAGGAACTTTGCGATATCAAAGCAATCATGACAACACAAGGCAGCTGCAATGCAACACGCATTCTTGATTTGGCCTCGTTAAAGACGTCAGGTTTTGACAGGAAGATAAAGATGCTCCTGTGTGATCCAATAAAACCAAACTCTCAGACGTGTCTGCTGCAAAAGGGATTAGGGTCAACTGAGTTCAAAGCACTCACTACTTCCTTTTCTTCTCTTTTTTATGAATGGCTCACTTGTTGAATCAACAGTTATCTGCAGAATGAGGACAAACTGAGCCCTGAGTACTAACTTACTACCAAAACTAGGACATTACACAGCAGCTCAATGCAGTAAAATACGGTGAAAGCAAATCAGAATCAACCGTCTCCAGTTAGACCACAGTCATGAGTTCAAACTGGGTCAAAAGGGTCAGAAAGGTATGAAAAATGAAAGTGTCAAACGTGGCTGTGAATTTGTCAACAGTGAAACCCTAAAACGATCTAAAACATCCTTGTTACTCACTCTGCTGCAGAAACAAATCTGTCAAGGTGCCCGTCGTTCTCATCCAGGACTTCTCTGGTGCGTGATTCTCCAGTGGACTGCAGCCCGATGACGATGCACTACAACCGAGAGCAAAAGGGCACATGAACATGACATCATTCAGGATCAGTTAGACTCGTGGCCCTGTGCTGTTTTGCTCTGACCTTGCCAGCCTCCAGCTCTTTTTGGGCCAGCTCCACCAGGGAGCGCACCTTGGCAGCGATACAAAGATATTTGAAGAAGCGCTGGTGAGACGACCAGAACTGCCCCCACAGAGACTTCCTGCTGACCAGACCGAGCTCGTCAGCCGCATGCATGAACACTTGCAGCGCCTCCGCCCACTGGACACAATCAAGTTGTCAACTGTCACTTCAGAGTTCCCAATCCTTCTCACAGATACATTTTCAGGCGGAGGATCCAAACTCACCAGTCTGGCAGCTTTGTTATAGACCTCTTTGAAGTCACTGTCCAGACCGATCTCCTCGACGCGGAAAGACACTCCAGAGAAGCTCAGCTGTCTGGCAATATACATGCCGCTCACTTTCATGTCCATGGCTACGATCTCCATGGCCCCGACCCCTCTGCATGCAAACAGCATGAATACAATTCATTTTTGGGTCTGCCACTGACAGATCGGATGGGACTTTCCAACATGGAGTTATCTATCAAAATGATCTAAATGCCTCAGTGGGAACTCTGCTCCACACACCTTTTCTCGATGGCGTGCAGGAAGTCGTCAAAGGCTCTGAATGGTGTGCCCTCACCCCATATTCCCAGGCGGCTCATATAAATCATGTTCTTTGGCTCAGAGGCGCCTGGAGGAGGTGACAGACACATCTATACTCAGACACAATGCCACTTCCTTGTGAGCGCTGGTGTGTGTTTCAGTTTGAGCGTACCTGTGGCGCTGGCGTACACCACTCTGGCCAGCGGCAGCTTGCTCTGAAGGTCAAGCACTGCTTTGCCCATCTTGGTGGATGTGGCGTTCTTGGCTTTGTGGCATTCATCAAAAATAATCTTCAGAGGTAAAAGGTTAAGGGGCACAAATGCATTCAGCTGGTAGTGAAGTTTAGACTCAGTACATTATCTCCACGTTGGTTTAGATAAAAGGATACAACTCCATCAAATTCTGGCTTGCACCAGTCCAGGATCTGTTTAATTCTGGTCCGATGCTGCCCTCCTGCCTGGCTCTCTCCAATCAGCGCAGAGTAAGTTGCAAACAGGACTCCTTCTGAGGTAGCTGTGTCTCCGTACTTTATCTAACGTGACATTTAAATAATTCGGTTTTAGAAAACGCTCTTTGCCTTAAAAAAGCCTTACTGGTTAACACTTCCTCCCCACTAAACGTTACCTTATTTAAGGCATGCACAGGAATATTGGGAGCATCTATGTCTTTGAGATCTCTCTCTGCGTCAAATTTCAGGTCATTGGATATGCTGAACCTGAAGGCAAGTACAAAAAAAAAAAAAAAAATCAGAAGTTGGCCCATTTCTGCACAAAACAAGCTCCTACATGTCGAGGACAATCTGACACACGATACTTCTAAAAGCTAGTTACTTGGCACCTCTGAGGAGTAAATATGTCTCACCACAGTGATTTCTTTCTGCCCTTAAGGTAGTTCTCCAGGATGATGCCAGCCACGGTGCGCCCCTTCCCGACGCCCGCCCCATCTCCAATCAGGAAGCCTGCTCTCTGCTTGTTCTGAAGGATCACCTCATGTTGCTGAGGGAATGAAAACAGAGACAGTATTAAAACCGCATAGTTTCAAAATGAGTAACTCCTCCTGTATTGTCTTTTGTTGTGAGCACCTGGCAGGCGTAGATGATAGCTTCTAGCTGCAGTGCAGACAGCAGACCACTGCTGATGGTTGTCTCTGGGATAGATAGAGTGTACGTGACATCTGGAGGTGGTACACTGGACAGAGTGTTGGTCTCCACCACTATGTCAGGATGAGAAATTCCTATAGTGGCTGATGAGGGACAAAAAGAGACAAAACAGGTTAACATCCAACTGCACCAGGTTCTAAGGAAAAAAACTGTAGACAAGTGAATGGCTTGAAGTGTGTTTTTGTGGATAATTTTGAAATATTAACATCTCACGCATTGTAGATACCTCCCTGAACAGCCTCTGTTCAAAGAAACATAGCTTCTGTCCTATAGAGCTCCGGGAGTTGACGTCACTTCTCCCGGCATGCAACAGTTCAAATCGAAACGGCGCCATATTGGCAGGCAGAAGCCCGCAGCTGGACTATTTGTTATTGTCAGAAAACTCAATCAGACAGGAAATATGGTAGATTCCTGTTGTGCCCCAGGATGCAGAACAGACACGGACGACATAAGGAATGAGCCTTCTACAGGATTCCCCAAGATCCGGAGCGCCACAAACGTTGGATCATTGTAATAAAACGCGCTAGTGACCGGGCTGAAATGAAGCTGTGGGATCCCGAGAGTAAAGGTTTTCGCTTATGCAGCGACCACTTCATATCAGGTACTTAAACCAACGTTTCCTCAACTGTGTATGGTATTTATTTTAAATGCTTTTATTACGATTCTTAGTGGGCTTCCAAAACTTATTTTGGCATGGCTTTTTCTGTCTTATTACTCATAGCAACAAGTAAACATCACGTAAAACGTTGCTTCGTGATTTCTGCGTGCTGCCGTTTACGTGTTTTATAATCACAGCAATTAACCGACTAAGCTGTATTTAATTTTTAAGCAATGGTTGATCAATTGTCAGATCACACATAAAAAGCACTTTGGATTGCTATTATCTGTCTCACCGAGACAGATCTCAGACAGATCCTGAGACGCTCCTGCCTGACATATTTATTTCATTCACGGAAAACAATCAGACTAGTGATTTCTCTTGGCGTTCAGTTTATACATTCAAACAGCACAGCACTCTATTTAAACTTCTTACATGTAAATCTATGTTATTTGTCCATCCATCCATTTTCATCCGCTTAACCGGAGTCGGGTTGCGGGGGCAGTAGCCTAAGTCGAGAGGCCCAGACTTCCCTCTCCCCAGCCACTTGGGCCAGCTCCTCCGGGGGAATCCCAAGGTGTTCCCTGGCCAGGTCCGGTAAGAAGTCCGCTCCGACAGCTTCTGGCGTTTTTAAATAGTATCCCAGGGGCACGGTAAGGGTCGGAGATGTTTAATCTATTTAATTTCTGACTATATAAAACGATTTCTTCGGTTTTAAAATGTGAAGTAAACTCAGACGAAGTAAAATCCAAGCCGATCCCGTTCATTTTGTTTACCTTTGTTGCCTGCCAACATGGCGTCTACTAACTGAGAGTCACGTGACGTCCGGAGCTCTATAGGACTGAAGAGCTAACAGCTAGTCTGAGAACATCCAAGGCCAAAGTGGATCCACTGTCCACAATGTCTCAGCTGTTTATTATTTACAAATCAGCAGAAGCAACATGTAACAACAGAATTTGTAAACATTTCTGTCAAAACAACTTACATTTGGAAGGTTTGTACTCAGCATATGTGTCAACGTGTCCCAGCTCTTCTGCTTCCTCCTCCTCAGCATCCTCTTCCTCCTCCGGCGGTGGTGGCTGCGTTACCTGAGCCTGGAAACACCAGACACCCAGATGAATTTATTTACAACACTTGGGTCTGGTTGTAGAAATTTTAGTGGTTATGAAGAATAAAGGTCAAATAAAACAGAGTTAGAAACAAGTAAGCAGGAAACTGTGGACAAAACAGTTTTGTAGGTCAAAGTTGTATCGGGTAAAGGTAAAAGACGTGGAAATGACAAGGATCTCTTTTTAGCACGTGGGTGACTAATGCTCTTAAACTTCATTTGTTGCATATGAAACCTTTTAAGGCAATGCCAGTGCGATCTGGTTTATGTGTCTGCAAACAGATGATAATGCAAAAGGCAACATTATCATCTGCAGCATTAACAAAATCCTGAACTAAACTTGCACGCTCTTAGGGATGGGTACCGAATTCGGTACTTTTTAAGGTACCGACCGAATTCCATAGTACCGACCGAGCACCTAATCACGTCATTTCAAACGGTGCCTCGTTTCGGTACCCGTCCTTCATGACGAGAACTTGCCTAGACAGCTGCGCATGCGCAAGAGCGTTATGTCGTCGGTCGCTGCGAGCGAGTTGTAAACAGAGCAGCATGGTAGAAAGAACGCCCGCTAAAGCTAGGGTCCACTTCACTACATGTCATGGGTAACTGGGTGATGATGAAACCAGCGACAACGATCTAAGTGAGACATCCTCATCTTAATCTGCTCAGGTAGGTAAATATAATTAGCTTAATATGTTAGCTTCCGTTTCGCTAATGGTGCGTTTGCTTTCTCCTCGGAACTCCGAATTCCCAACTAGAAGAACATGAACGCTCTCTAAAGTTTGGCTTCACTTTACTAAATGCGACGAGTGATTGGGTGAAGATGAAACCAGCGACAACGATCTAAGTGTGAGGCATCATCGTTTTAATCTGCTCCAGCAGCTAAATAAACTGTTTGATAACGTTAGCTTGGTATGTTAGCTTCCATTGCTACCATTGTTATCAGCTAATGGTGCGTTCGCTTTCTCCTCGGAAATTCTAACTTCCCAGTAGGAAAAATCAAATGAAAAGAGACGGTAAAAGGAATGAAGATACACAGTAAATTTAGTTCACAGTAAAGATGTTTGCTTCAGTTTAATTATCAGCTTATAAAACTACAAGGACGATGTAAAAATATGAACAGTTGTATGTTATTTATCGTGATATTTATCAAATATGGTTATATATTGAGAAAAATATATATTTCATTAGAAAAGAGAATTAAAATAATAAACACTCAAAAGTATCGAAAATTGGTACCGTTAAGTACCGGTATCGATTCCTAGGTACCGGGAATTAGTACTGGATCAATTCAAATGTCACAGGTACCCATCCCTACACGCTCTATTGTGTTAAAACGGGATCCCTATATTGGTGAGGTGCTATGTTTCAGTGTTTAACAGTAAAAAGGAATTCCCCTGCGTTGCTAAAACACACATCTAACACCCGTGCTTTACTGAGAACTGATCATGAAAAGGCTCAGCTGGTTAGAGAGGCTGGTTTCATTTTAACATCAGATTGGAGAAGCTACCTGGAATCCTCCTAAAGGTGGAGTGCTGATAATAGCAGTTATATCATCCAAACTGGCCAAGCCTTGAAACCTGCCGGTGCCATTCTGCTGTCAACAAAACATAACATAAAGAAAAATACAAACTCAAATAAACACCAGGTGTAAATGCAACAGAAAAACAAACCCAAGAAAAGCCCAGAGTAATCACTGGGTTTGCTACTATAAAGGATTCATGGACGTCACTTAGAGCAGAACTCAACAAAATGCAGTTGGTTGTCTGGCGATGAAAAGCCAGCGACAACAAAAAAGATAAAGCTGTGCGTGTCTGGCAAACATAACGGCTGGAATGAGGGCAGAATGAAAAGTACAACATAAAGGGCTTTCAGGAAGTAGAGAGAAATAAATGCTCTCTGATCATATCAAACATGTCACTGAACCCATTTAATATAGAGGCTTCAACAGCAGAGTAAGCTGAAACACGGGAACAACTTTCTCACAAATCCCAGAGTGCTTTTATTTTGAAAATCACTACAAAGCCTGAACAAAATTTAATAATAAATTATGAGTATTGAAAACATATATTACTCAAATATTTTTTTTTAAATATTAAGAGGCAAATTTAAACTTACCTTGATGCAATTAACAAGCCAGCAAACTTCTTTTCAACCAAACAGCTGTTCATCTCTATATAGGTTCTACCAAAATGAAATATCGTTTATGTTTTATGTTAATTAAAGTAAAACTTGAGTGGAAACAGCTGCAGAGAATGGATTTCAGTCTAAGAATGATCTTGAGCCTAGTTTAAAAACGTCACGGACGTAAAACACACACAGGCCGGGGAGGACAATGCTACTATTGTTCGCTCCCCCAGCAATCCATCCATGTTAAACAAGTTTCTGTTCTACTGTGGTTAGAGGTAGTTATGGTAACTGGGGTTTCTGGAGATCGTTTGTGTCCGAGGGCATACTGACCTCTACATGGCTCTGTGCTGGTGTAGTGGTGCCACCAGTGTTGATGTCCCACAGTGTGGGCACTGGGTCCAGGTTGTCTCCGCTGACAAAGGGCTGGGAAACATCATACTCTGACAGCGAGTCAGCCGGAGAAGAGAACAGAGAGTTTGAGAGGTCATCGATGCAGGACAAGTCCTGGAGACAGAGACGGGGGGGGGGGGGGGGGGGTTATTTCCAAAAGAATCGTAAAAGTGGCCCAAAGACTTAATAAAACCAGGTTCAGGCACTGATGCTGACATAAAAAGAAACATGAATCAGTTATGTTAAAGCCAAGTAGGCTGAACAAAATTCTAATTACACACAAACTAGTGAAGGAAAGCTAAGGTCATGCATAAAGGGACCAATTGTGTCTTCTCAGCTTTGACTGCCTTGCAGTTGTCCCCCTACTCGTGTCCTTTTTGAGCTATTAGCATGCCAAGGCCTTTAACTAGCCTCCCATAGGCTCCCCGGGGTCCCCCAGAGACATATAAACACGGATGTGGGGAGATAGGGTGTGAGCGGGGGTGGGGGTGAACTTCAACAGAGCTGAGGCTGTTTTTGGAATCGGATCGCTCCGTTTTATGGTGACACTAACTCCATGAATACTACACTCAGGGTCATGTGTGGAGATTCCCACACACCCCCTCTCCTCCATAAACTCACACATGTAGGCATTAAAAGATCTGTAAATAAGCCTAACGCTCACTACAGGATATTATTACAATTATCGTGCCAGAGGGAGCAATGCACCACTTCCTGTGATCCCATGCAGTTTCATGAGAAAGCAAATGTAAACAAATTGGAGACTCTTGAGAAACAACTTGCTGTAACATCAGATAAACTTGGCAGCGAGCGATCACATACAGAGAGGAGAGTTGAGAAAACAGATCGGGGGATGAGGTCAGCATGGACTGGTCTTAAGCAAGAACTGGAGAGGAGGGGTTCGACTGTCAGCTTTAATATTTGTCAGCTTGCAAACGTTTGCTTAAAGGGCAACAATGCACATGGCTGCTCAACAGTGACTTTGCTAAGTTGAGCAACTTTAAAATGTCAAACACATCTGATATAATTGAGATAGCACCTTTAAACTGATGGTTTCACTGTTTAAACCATCAAATGCAAATTTTACTTGGAAAACAGAGTTCACTCAGGAGTAATTTAGAACTTTTACACTAAAACACCATTGGCTGCTGGAGAGCGTAACAGCACTGCCGCCATATTGGATGGGTCCCTCTCTCTCCAAACCCACACAGGATGGGCAACTATGCCTGTTTTTGCAACTTGTGCCTATTGAAAACAGTTCATATGGGATTACTATTGACTTTGCTAGCCTACCTGTTAGTATTTTACAGTATATGTATTATATTTGTATTTTAATGATCATGCCATACTATATGTCTTGTTTTGTTAAAATCACAATGAAATGTGTTTTTTAGTTGGGTAAACACCTTAAAAATAAAAGCGCTGGGGGTGATTGGGGACCCAATCAAGATGGCAGCTCACCACTATGCAAGCTCCAATAGGCAGCCCCAGTCCACGTCGCGTCTATGTATATGATGTCTGTACTCAAAATTGTCACGCTGCCTCCTTCACAACCCTCGACATCCTCCGGGGGAGGACCACACACTCACCCAGGCCAACCGAACTCCACTACCCAGCATTCCCAGCACCAGTCTTCCGGCCCACGTCACCCGCCACATCTACATAAGGAAGTACAGCTCAACGCCAAACCACTCAGTCATCGTTCTAACCGAACTGTGCTCCGAGTTCCGACCAGATCCAACCCGATCACTCAGCCCGTTCTGACCAGATCAGGCCATGCTACTCACCCTGCCGACTCAAAGTAAGTCCGCTTGTTACCTTTGGAGCCGCCGTGCTCTCCAGTCATTATACGGTTTGACTCCTAGAACAAACCGCGTGTCAACCTGCCCGGTAGGGCTGCAACAAACGATTATTTGGATAATCGATGAATCGGGGGTCTCGACACGATTAATCGATTAATCGGATTACATAGGGACATTTTTAAAAACTGCTAGGGAAACGTTATTTCTCTCCTTCCTTCACTTTATTAAACACAACATTATTAGAAAACAGTTCAATAGCAGAAAAACAACATGCCATCACCTAAATTGTCTTCTAAGGTGTATAGACAGAGACCCTAAGCTACACCTATCTGTGACCTAAAATGCTTGGTCCAAGTTAAACAGCTTAAAGAGCAAGTCAACCCCTACCAGAGTCTAACTCCACTCCCACTTCATGTTTGAAAAATGCAACACATGCTGTTGCCTGGCAGACCGAGAGGGTCTAACAAATACACACACACTCAGGCTCACGACAGCATTGTGACATCATAATGTACCAGTTTGCATGGTAGTATACCTCTTAGCCAATAGCGGTGGCAGATTTAAATTAAAATACAGTGCAGAGTTTTTACCTGACAACGGCACAACACTGCCAGTTTTAGGCAGAATATTTAAATTTTAACTAAGATGCACTGAAGTGCCAAATTAATGACGACACGTGTCTGCAGCACGATTAGACACTCGTTTATTTAGTTTATCAGCAAAAAAAAGTTTATTTGGGGGTGACTTGCTCTTTAAGGGCAATTCTCATCTGTTTTGTTTGATCTCATCTGTAGACATTTATTATAATTGGGGATGTCAAACAACTAATTTTTAAATGAAATTAAACATAGGCTGTGAATTAATCAAAATTAATCACTATTTCCAAAAATGACTGAAAAATACCAACTAAAACAAAAGTAAATGAATGCCACCCTCCTTGTGATGATGCCCTGGGTAACTGCCATAAAGTCACATCAAGAAATGCTGCTGATGATTCCAATGATCCCAAATAGGCTCACATTAGGCCACATGAAAGCAACTGAACCCAAAAATATATTAACCAGTATATAACTGCACTCTCACACAACACGCCTGCAGCAACAGTTAGGACTCCTCCCTCCCTTTTAAAAGCGTTTTCGCTTCTGAGGACATTGTGGTTGTAAAACCACATGCTAGTAGTCTGGCCCCGGTGTGATCAACCAGTTTCTGCGGGAATGTGACGGCGGAACCGGTTCGCAGCAGCGCAAGTCCCCCCCCCCCCCCCCCGTCCCCCCATCTAATAGCGTTGCGCTTACGATTTTATAGACTTTTTTTAACGAGCTTAGGGCATGTCTAGCCTGTGTAATAATCCGGGGCTTGGGTGAATCACTTTTGAAAAGTTTTTAACTTACCCGGACACCGAGCTCTCTCCTTCCTCGCTGATGATTCTGACATGCTTGCGTTTAAAATGCTGCATCATCACCGTAGTTCTCCCGTGCCATGCTAAGTCTGACCTACAAACGTTGCAGGTAACGAATGTCTTCGCCTGATTTAACTGAAAATGCTCCCAAACTTTAGAAGTTTTTACTTTTTTTGGGTCTCGCTGCTTCTGCCATGTTCCTCTTCCAAACACCTGCCGGCTCTCCGGTCTGCGCGAAACGGCGGGCGGGAGGGGAGGGGGCTTTTGGAAGAGTTGCGCAACACAACGAATCGATGACGCAATTCGTTGCCAACGCTTTTAGTAATCAATTTTCATCGAATTTATCGATTCGTTGTTGCAGCCCTACTGCCCGGCGTCAGTCACTCCGCTCTTGGGTTTGTAAACACGTTACATCCCGAACTCTCGCTCCGGTTCAGCTCAGCTCGAGTCAGGCCTTACAAAACTGACCAAAAATATTTTGTTAAGATGCCCGCTAAAAACCTTACCCTAATTTTCCACTTTCAACCCACTTCAGGTCTTTTGACAAGAATCACATTTTGCTTTTAAAACTAAGAATAACTTAAAAAAGAGAGATAGTGCAGTACAACGAGCACAAAGTACAAAGTAGGAGAGATAAATGACCAGTTGAGATGCTGACTCACTTAACAACAAGCTGCCACTGAATAAATGCTGAGAAGCAGCTCGGACCGTCAGACGTTACTCACAGTTCATCTGAAATTGTTTCACAGGCATGAGAAGATGAGACCTGCAGCTTTAGGTGTCAACACTGTGGGAATGGAGCACAGTGAGGATGATAAGCAGCAGGCGGAGGAAAACTCTGTGTGTGTTTTACACACGTGTATATTTTTACCCTATGACATTATGGAGACAAAAAGGCTTACTGACCACAACATTTGGACGGCTGTAATTAGAAAAATAAAGCCCCTTTATAAGGTGGAGCACTGAGTTTTCCGGTGACGCTATGATTATAGTTTGTTGTTCAGCTCCTTCACGGTTTTTCTCTTTCTTTTCCTCTCTTTATTTGTGTGTTTGCTTCCTGAGGGCAAGCTCAGGCATGAGCAAGGCAGGAAGGTGTTCTAGCCCGGAGATAACTAGGCTGTAGTGACAGAAGGGTAGACCACAAAATCTGTCACGTTCTACTCTGTTCCTTTTATTCTCAGTTATCTGAGTGTCACTAATCTCATCTTTCTGTGTTTTTATTCCTTGCTCTGGACCCAAAACGCTCAGATAACCACAGACAAGCATGTTCCATCATGGAAAATACAGCAGGCAGACAATAACAGCAGGGTGACTGCAGTAATAATATCAGCTCTTTAAAAATGGTCAGACAAAAAACAGACCATATTTATCGAATAAATGAAAGCCGAGTTGCTTAAACTGAAATATGGCATATCACCCCTTTTTCCCCAGCTAAATCTAAATTAGACACGGTGCTCTGATACCAGCTACTGCTCTGTGTTACATTCAGAAGTGACTTCCTACTCGATGGCCCGTCTAACACAAGGTTCTGCAAATTCTGCGGTAAAATTCTCAGTTCTGGTGCCAACCAGGACACGTCCAACCTCGGGAGCCGTGCAAATCAGGTTATTAAGCCGAGCGTAGCAGCGGTAGCAGTGTTTGGCTCGTACTCGGGGCTACTCCAGCCACCGCTCCTAGGAGCGGACTCTGCTGCACCAAGATAAGCTTTGAATTCCAACCGCCCCTGATGGCAATCTGTCCCCCCCCCTCCACAGCACACAAACCTTACAATCATCCAACTACTAATCCTGCCTTTCTCTTACACACACACTTTCTTCCTGCTGTCCAACAAACACACAACCTGCAAATATATGCAAATGCCTCCAGCAAAACTGTTTTTGGGGGGTTAAATCTGCCTGAAACCTTTTTTGTGT